TAGAACTTTTTATCTTGCAGAATCTAGCCTGCACACCACAGTTTAGGAGATAAAATCTTATCCCTATTTCCCTAAAGCATTCTGAAATTCCCCCATGCATTCTTTGCCCTGGAATCCCCTTCAAACATAATCTAGTATCTTTTATGTGACCATTTTTAACTATTTCCACAGGATCACTTTTGCTTAAATTGCCCCAAGCTTAGGTTTAACTTTTACAAGATTAAATTAATGGCATTTTTTTCAGGTTTTTTTTTCTTTTTACATTTTTTAAAACTACTTCTTCATAGCCTTTAGCCATTTATCTATTGAGAATTATTATTGTTCTTAAATATAAGGTGTCTTAGTGTGACACTAAGAGTTTGAAGGCGCAGCTAGGTGGTGCAGTAGATAGTTCTCCGGCCCTGGATTCAGGAGGTCCTGAATTCGAATGTGGCCTCAGACATATAACACTTACTAGCTCTGTGGCTCAGGGCAAGTCACTTAACCCCAATTGCCTCAAAAAAAAAAAAAGAAAAAGAAAACAGAAAAGAGTTTGAGGACATCCTCTATTTGTATCAGTTTTCAAAAACCCTTGAATATCAGGCTTTTATCAGAGAAGTTTGCTTCAAAGATTTCCCAGTTAAATGCTTCCTTTTTAACTGTATTGACTTTGTTTTCCTACAGTGTTTTAAAGATTTGGTTTTGAAATAGGTTAAATGAAAATAACACATTTCTTGAGCATTATCAAAAAATATTTTAGTTGCCACATATTGGTTCTAAGGTGTGATATTTGTACCAAGATATGACTTTTTTCTATAAACAAATGAATGTACTCTGAAAATTAGACATGTTGCTAATGCTGTACCTAGTATCTGATAGTCTGTTTTCATTTTGGGAAATACAGTGCTGACAACCACACGAGATCATTGATTCTGTTAAGTTGAAACATTTGGCTTTGAATTTAATTCTAAAAGAATGAAAGAGTAGACATTGGAATGAAGTTCTCCTTAGACAAGGAGCTTTTGTGTGTATTTCTTGTTCTTTTATGAGTTGCAAAATGATACCTCGAGTGAAAACCACTAACATTTGCATTCAAAATAATATTTATTCAGACTAAAGGACAAATTTTCAAAATTTCTATTTGGTGTATAATTAAATTTTAGGCCCAAAATCATAAATAACAGGGTTATTTGAAGTGAAAGCTACCATTTTCCACAATTCATTTGATTGACCACCAAGTCATTAAATTGACTTGAACAGGTTAAAATGTCAGTTTTAGTTGAATGAATGGAAAACATAGGGAAGTGTCATAGTGAAAAAAAAATTCAATGCTACGCCTTTGCTAGCAAGATAAGCAAGCAGGTATATAATGTGTAGGCCAACTAGGAAGCACAGTGTATACAGCACTGGGCCTGGAATCAGGAAGATTCATCTTCTTGAATTCAAATCCAGCCTGTGTGACCATAGGCAAGTCACTTAACCCTGTTTACCTCAGTGTCCTCATCTGTAAAATGAGCTGGAGAAGGAGATGGCAGATTATTCCAGTATCTTTGCCAAAAAAAAAACCTGAAATGGGATTGTAAAGTGGGACATAACTGAAATGATTGAACACAAACAAAAAAGAAATCTTATCATTTTACTGAGTCTTGAAAACTGAAAGTATAATGCCTAGAGTTGGACCCTGAGTGAGCTATGGAAAACATGAAGAAAGTCTACTGAATGAGCATATTCCATGGATCTGTACTCTCATCAATAAAAATATTTCCCTCCATTAGGATAGATCACAGCCCATCTGTGTCTTCTCATTCTGGGCAATCTTCATCTATGCCCTTTCATAAATACAACATAGAGTATCTACATCATATTCTGATGGCAAACGAGTGTTCTGTGGAATGCTGGAAGGGCCATGCAGCATTGCAATTGCTATTCCTCACTCTCAGTACATGACTGACTCACCTTTTCTTCCTTGGTGGCATCTTTAACACTAGAGGTGTCAGACATAGGATCCAGTGACTGCATGGGACTCACAACATGCTCTTGAATGAATTTAAACTGTAATTGGGAAATGTTTAACAAAATACATAAAAATACAATAAACCATACATAATACCGTAACATTTTAAAACTAAGTCAACGACATGTGCAAAAATATTTATAGCAGCTCTTTCTGTGATGGCAAAGAATTGGAAATTGAGGGGATGCCCATCAATTGGGAAATGGATGAACAAATTGTGGTATGTGAATGTGATGGAATACTATTGTCTTATAAGAAATGATGAGCAGGCAGACTTCAGAAAAACCTGGAAAGACTTGTATGGACTGATGCCATGTGAATTGAGTAGAACCAGGAGAGTGTTGTACACACTGACAGCATCATTGTGGGATGACTGACTTTGCTAGACTTAGCTCTTCTCAGCAACGCAAAGATCTAAGACATCTCCAAAAGACTCATGATGGAAAATGCTGTCCGCATCCAGAGAAAGAACTATGGAGTGTGAATGCAGATTGAAGCATACTATTTGCCCTTTTTTTTCTTCTGCTTTGTTTTTTTTCCTCTTTCTGATGGTTCCTCCTATTGGTTCTAATTCTTCCTTACAACATGACTAATGTGAAAATATGTTTAATAGGAATGTATATGTAGAGCCTATATCAGATTGCATGCTGTCTTGGGGAGGGAAGTGTGGAGGGAAAGGGAGAAAAATTTAAAACTCAAAAGCTTATGGAAGTGATTGTTGAAAATTAAAATAAATTAATTTTAAAAATTAAATGATGTAATTAAAAAAAAAAACTAAGTCAATATGTGGCCTGCAAGTACCCTTATGTGTGGATTAGTGGCCTCTGTTTTTTTACCCTGGTTTGACACCACTGTCTGTATCATTCTTCCGCTGCAAAATATTGCAGCCTCAGATGTTCTTTTCCATTGTCCTTTGGGTAGTCTGCAACTTTCATTCTTCTGAGGCTGTGGTATTACATGAGTCAAAGCTGTGTGTCATCACTAGAATTTTATTGTAGGGGAGACAACTGCCTGTATCCATGATTTCATGGACTTGGGGCATATGTCAAAGAAAAGAAATGGACTGGATAATTTTTTATTCTACCCCTGGTTCTCTTATCTGCCATTTTAAGCTGCCTCTCTGTTAGGAATATTGGTGTTAAAAGAAATTCTTTGGTAGCAGGGAGCAGCTTTGGATCATCATCAGCAGCATACAAGTTCCCAAATATATTCCAGCTTAGTTTTTTTTCTCTCCTAATATTGAATTCTAAGCTGAGATCATTGCTTGTGATAGATGTATTATTAGACTAACTCAATGGACTGCTAATACAACTGCTTGTCTTATTTTGAACATTCTTCATCCACTTGCTTTTTTCTGCATTTATTACTGCACCAATCATTTTGGGGTCATTATGGATCTTATTGAAGAGACAGTTTGAGGTTCTGGGATTTGACAACAGTTATCACCAATGTCATTCACATTGGGCTGTGGTAAGCTTGATTTGTAGGGATCCTTATTTTTTGGATTTTCAATAGAACATATGGTGGACATCTTTTGCAAGCTTGTATCTCCCTATTTTGTGTTTCCTTTGTAATGATAATCAGAGGATGCTTGAAGATCATCTCTCTTGTCGCTTTTAGCAAACAAATTGTCTCTGATGCCAGGAAGGCATTCCCTTCTTATCTTTACCTCTCTGTATTCCAACTTGGAATTCCAGTTCTAATGCCTTTGTTATCTTTAAACTATCTTGTTATGCTTATTTGTACATGTTGTATTCCCCCAGTAAAATGTAAGCTTCTTGAAAAGCAGCAACTATCTATTTTTTGTTATAGCAATGGCATCTAGCACAGTGCTTCATACATATCAGATGTTTAATAAACGTTTGAGTTGGATTGAAGAAAATCATTTACTCCTCTAGAAGTTTAACAAATTATTCTATTAAATAGAGTTGGAAAATAATATTTAAATAATTGTCTTTAATATTTTAAAATTGCATTGTTATAAAATTTGACATTATCAATCAGTATTTGATGAATGCTTCTTATTTTCCTAGTGCTGTGCTAAATGGTAGTTGTGTGTATAGCAGGTACAGAAGTTCCCCTTCCTTACTCTAAAAAAAAAAACCCAAAGTGACAGACTACCTGGAGATAGGAAATATCACATAAGAAACTATATGCTATTAACTATACTAATAATAATAACTCACATTTTAATAGCACTCCAGCATTTTACAAAATGTTTTTCCCACAACAGCTCTGTGAAATAAGAAATGCCCAATATGATCTTCTCTAAGTACAGTGGGAATTTGGATAATAAGAATAATAAGTAACAACAACAACAATAATAGAAATTTATATATGCTAGTTATTATATTATATATATTCTTGTATAGAAATTTAAGCAAAATTGCTTTATAGATATTATTTCATTTTATCTTCACAATAACCTTGGGAGGTAGATGCTATTATTTTCCCCATTTTCCAAATGAGGAAACGAAAACACAAAGAGGTTTTCCAGGGTTACACAGTTAGGAAATGTCTGAGGCTAGATTTAAACCCAGCTCTTCCTCACTTCAACTCCATCACTCTATGCCTTGAGCCACCTGGCAAGAAGGTAGGGTGGGTTGGGGGAGGGAGGGAATAAACATTTTTATAGAGCCTATTATATTCCAGGCACTTTCTTAAGTGAACCCTTTACAAATATTATCTTATTTAAATAAAGTATTACTAAAGTAGTCAGAGAAGATTTTGTGGAAGAAATGCATCTGAAAAATGAATAAGAATTTGGTTATGTTAGCAAAACAAAAGCAAGATGTTCTAGTTGGGTGTGGCACAGAGTATGGTGAGAGGGAGAGAGGCAGAGCAGCTCATTGTGTGAAAGATGAACATATTGATGCTGTTGACTTAGTATACTAAAGTATAATATTGAATTCTTATCAATGTTCAAATAATAAATATCTTAATCTAATGCTACATTAATATTGCTTATTAAATGAGTTAATATTTTTTGTTCTCTGTTTTTTGTTAGAAGAAAAACTAAAGGCAAGGCACCACTTCCTCCAGCTGAGACTAAATGCATTGATGTTTCTTCGTATGAGTTGGTAGAATCCTCTAATTTCATCATGGAGCAGAAGGAAAACATGATAGAGAAAGACATTGAGCTCTCTGTGGTTCTTCCAGGGGATGTGATCAAATCCACTACTGTTCATGGCAGGTATGCTGCAATCTAATAGGTTGCTTAGATGTGATCTATTTCAGTGTTACTAACAATTTGAGTCTTTATGTGGAGTTCCCTCATTTTGGAACTATTTTACTAATTATTTCCATAAATAAGTAGGCCATGAAATGTCTACGGAAGGATTTTTCTCTAAGTCTGTAGTGCTGTCTCTACATTGAGTTTTTCTACATTCCCAGTCAAAATGTATTCCATGCATTCAAAGCTATTTCATATCTTTTGTTCCAGACTTTAGAAACTTTAAGAGAAAAGTCCCTTTTCCAGAAAAAAGGTTTGCAGCCATGCTGGGTTTTTTAGATACATGTAAAGTGTCCTAACTCCTGCATTCCAACAACTTTGAAATAACTAAAACTTTTACTTCCCTAACTCTTCATTTAGATGTAAGATATTTCTTTCTGTATATGTAAAAATAAGCTACAAATGTGAAAAAGAACTCATAGACTTTTACCTCTGTTGAACAGTTTAGTTAATCGTTCACTAGTAGGTAGGTAAGTTAATTGGAAAGATAAAAATAAAACTTTAACAAAACAAGAGGTGAAAATTTGATGTAGCACACTAATATTCTTAAAACCCACATAACAATTTAAAAGTGGGACAAAGCCAAATCTGAGTTGCCATGCCTTTCTGACGTGGAAAATTACAATGAACAATTGGTGTTCTTGGCCTTGCCCTTCCTTTCAGCTTTAACTGCCTGAATATTATCATTGAGGGTGTTCTGAAGACATAAGCTTACTAAGCTGCCTTCATCTTAGTATATTCACGATTACAGTATATAATAAAAACTAGATGAGCAATAAAGATAGGGTACTTAAGTCTTGTTTGGGCTAGTTCTATCTAGGAGAAACATGTTCTTGAGATAACATGACAGCTTTCAGCCCTCATTTTAGGATTTATCTCTGTAATTAGGTAGAATTTTGAGTCATGAAAAGTAGATGAGAATAGGAAAGTTAAGAGGTATATTTTTCTTTTCTTCTTTCTTTCTTTTTCTTTCTTTCTTTCTTTCTTTCTTTCTTTCTTTCTTTCTTTCTTTCTTTCTTTCTTTCTTTCTTTCTTTCTTTCTATCAGACCTATGGTTTTCTTCGTGTGGGGAGTGCCGGTTGAGAAATGTTCTCCATCAATGCAGAGGAACACATCTTCTGCAGCGTATAGGGTTAATTCCTGGGACACTGAAAGGTTATGTGACTTGTTCAATCACATAGCCAGTATGTGTCAGGGACATAAGGCCTACTCTCCATCTGCTATGCCATATTACTTGGTGTAGAAACGTGTACCAAGCCAATAGTTGTCAGAGATAGAATTTGAACTCAGGTCCTCCCAACTCTGAGGTCAGCTCCTTATCTACCATGTCACAGTGCCTTAGATCACAGAGCCCTGAAAATGCCTGGTGCTCAGAGCATCAGGCCTGTACCAACTTTCACCATCACTAGGCAGATTTTTCTGAGATGGGAGAGCTAGGCCGTGGTGAGTAGGAAGGCCGCCAGAGTGCACCTGAAGGGCAATATTGTGCTCCCATTAAAGGGCAGATATTCAGAAGAAAACTTTGAAAGGTGATGTATATTACCTAAATTACATATTAAATTACCTAGGTAAGAAAGAAAATCTATTAATCTCAGTAAATGCTTGTTGACTATCAGTGCTAACAGGAGTCGATTCTGTTTAGAAGTCTACACCATCCAATTAGACTACTCCCTCCTCATTCTTAACGTCATCATCTGCTGAATTCCAGAATACTCTCCTACTTTCCTTGGAGAGAGAGCATTAGAATTAGAATCTACAAGACCTCAGTTCAAATCCTGCCTCAGACACTTAGCTGCATGACCATGGGGAAGTCACTTAACCTTTGCTTCCTTAGTTTCCTAATCTGTAAAATGGGAACAGTAATAGCGCCTCTCAGTGTTGTTGTAAGGATCAAATTAGAGAATACTTGTAAAGCACAGCACCTGGCACATAGTAGGTGCTTATTTAATAAGTACTTGTTTCCTTGAGTAAGTTCCATGGGAGTATTGAGATAGGAATAAAATTGCTGTGTGTTCTATCAGTGAACGGTGACAGGGGTGTGTGCTAGGAATTGGATTGTTGTCCTCTGTTTTCAGAGCAAAGCTGCAGATATCCAGGCTGATTCTAACCATCTGCACAGTGACTACTACAAAGCATTCCGACTTTCTTTCCTTTATTATTTTTCTCTTGTGAGTTGCAATAAGAAGGTACTGGATTTCTTTTTCTTTTTAATCTCTGTGGTAGTAGTGAAGGCTGTCTGAGAGCGATATAAGAAAAATGCTCTTCCTGGAATTGCAAGTTGTCAGAGCAGTTCTTGACCATTTATGCAAAAAAAAAGAGAAGAATTGATATCAGTGTTTCCTGCTTTTATAGACTTCTCTCTGTATGTATTCCATTTTTAAAATTCTTTTTCAGAAAACACCGGTCCATGCAATCATACCAATAGCAGTGTTAGCTACATCAGCCGCAGTAGGCACTGAGAATAAGCTAGGTGTGCAGTGCTGGATCTGGAGGCCTAACTAGGTTGAAATCCAATGCAAGAGACTTACTACCTGTTTGTGACCTTGGATAAGTCCCTTAGCCACTCTCTGCCTTATTTTCCTCAGCTGTAGAATGACATTCTACCTAGGGTTGCTTTGAAAATAAAATGAGATAATATTTGTAGTGCTTTGCAAACCTTAGAACACTATGTAAATGACACAGTGGATAAAGGCCCTGGACTTGGAGTCCGGAAGACCTCAGATACTTCCCAACTGTATGACCATACGTAAGTCATTTAATCTCTCAGCTCTCAGTTTGTTCATCAGCATAATGAGGATAATTATGCACCTACCTCACAAGAATTGCTATATGGATCAAATGAGTTAATATACATCTGGAAAAAAAAATAGTATTTTGCAAAGCTTAAGGTTCCCTCCATATAAATGCTAGCTGTTATTGTTGTTATTTGTTTTTAATGTGGGTACAAATGAGAATGTGACCAATCAGAGAAGAAGAGGAGAACTTACAACCTATGTAGAATCACAACCATGTGTTTTTCTGTACTTCTTTTTCCTTTGTTTCTAACTCAAGGCCATGCTTTCAAAAGCAGCTTCTCAGTTTAGGAAATACATGGACAGAAGAGCCATTCTACCCATATCCAAGAATACAAGGCCCTGTTTCTACCACTGTAAACCTGTGGAGGGACTTAATAGCCCATAGAGCTATAGCAGTGTATACATTTGAGGTGAAGGAAGGAGGATTGGAACCAACGTGATGCTCTTTCTTTTCCCTCTTGCCCTGCCTTAAACTGAACTTGGTTTTGTGGTAAGCAAAGTTGAGAGTGATTTATATTGTGGGATTGCACCCTGACTCTCTCATCCTTTTGATACAATAGTAGCCATAGTCTTACTGGGTAAGTATGTGATTTTAGCTAGGAATGGCCAACTTAAATGACTGCCTGAAGACCATTTCAGATGGAGTACAGTGCCATCTATTGGCTAAAAGTAGTATGTCAAAGAATTGAGTTTTGAGAGTAGGTTGAATGTGGCTTCCTTTTGGAAGAATGGATTTAAAAGTAGGGTCTGAAATTTGAGAATTTCCAAATAAAAAATAATTATAATACATTTATGTAGTGCCCATTATGTTGTAGGTGCTAAGTGTTTTATAATGATTATCTCATTCGAACCTCAACAATTTTGGAAGGTAAGTGCTATTATTAGCCCCATTTTAAAGATGAGGAAACTGAGGCAGAGGCTGAGTGACTTGCCTAGGGTCACATGGCTAGGGCGTGTGTAAGGTGAAATTTGAACTCGGCCTAGCCTATTCAGTGCACCACCTCCAAAACTTATTTCAACAATAGTACATTTGTAATGAGTATATATGAAGATGTTCTGGAAGAATTGTGAAATTATCCAAAGGATAATACAATAAAATGAAAGAAGTACATTCAGATGTGATCCTTTCATTTATTCAGAAAGCATTTATATAACACACCTATATGCCAGGCGGCATGGCATAGACTTGACTTCAGGTCCCCACCTCTAACAGGTACTAGCTGTGTGACTCTCACTAATCTGGACACATCTTTAAGCTTCAAAGTTACAAAGAAGGTGCCATTCTTCAGGGGTCTAAGAATGTTCAGTGAGAACTTTATACCTGGGATTCTTAGCGTTTTGGTTTTTTTTTTGGTCAAAGGTCACTTTTCAGAATGTTTTTAAATGCATAAAATAAAATACATAGGATTAAAAAGGAAACCAATTATATGGAAATACAATTATCAGAATATTTAAAAAACAAAAAACATATATGCCTGGTTAATACCCCAGGGTTCTATACCAGTAAGGTTACAGATATCCTGTCCTCCCTCTCTAAGCCACTATGCTAGGTGCTGGGAATACCAAAACATAATCAAAATATTACTTGGTCTAAAGAAGGTAATAATGTTTTCTATTCAAAGAAAAACAAGTGCTTAGAAAATTAAATACAAAATAGATATGAAGTAATTTCCAGAGAGAGGTTAATAGTAACTTCAAGGATCAGGATCAGCTTTCAGTATTAGGCAGCACTTTACTTCATTCAAAGGAAGGTGGAGATGCTAAGAGGGGATCTTGGTGGCACAGTAGATAGAGTGCTGGGCTTGGAGTTCAAATGTGGCCTCAGACACTAACTGTATGACTTGCACAGGCAAGTCACTTAACCCTGTTTGCCTTAGTTTCCTCATCTGTACAATGGGCTGGAGAAGAAAATGGCAAACCACTCCAGTATCTCATGCCAAGAAAACCCTAAATGGGGCCACAAAGAGTTGGACAACTAAAAAAAGTGACTGAACAACAATAACAGAAAGGAATGCTAAGGAGTCAAGTTGGGAAGGAAGTGCATTGGCAGACTTACAAGTTAGCCAGTTGGATTAGATCGAGGGAGAAAAAACTGCATGTAATAAGCCTAGAAAGGTCGGCTTAAGCTTACCTTTATGATGTTCCTAAATCTCTCACATCAGCTTAGATTCTAGACCTATTCTAATTTGCTAGAAGTGAACAGAAATTGGGCCTAATGATGGAAATGTTTAAAATTTGGAAAGGTAAAGGATTAATTTCATACCTAGTGCCCCTTGAAAACGTTGGGAGTTAAGTCAAGTTATCAACAAGCATTTATTCAGTGTTGACTATTGCCAGGCACTGTGCTAAATGCTGAGGATACAAATAAAAACAAAAAGAGAGCCCCTGCTCTCAAGAAGCTTATTCCCAAGTTAGAGAAGACAACACAAAAGAAGAAAAGGTGGAAGAAGGTACCCATGCAGAGGAGGCAAGGTGGGGAAAAAAGCCTAAAGAGTCAGGAGCAGAGCCCACGGAATAATGAAGGAGCGAACATGGTGGAACTGGGTCCTTACTTCAGCTAGAGATTCTGGGAAGAAGCTACTAATCTGAGGAATGGGCCGTAGTGAAGGAAGGACCTATCAGGGGAACAACGGCATGCTGGGTGTGGTGGAAAAAGAAATCTGGAGAGTCAAGAGCCAATCAAGAAATGAAAGGAGTAAGAATTTATATTATGTGTGCTAGTTATTTTGTACCTGATTGAGGAGGCAGGAAACTGTCTGTGTGAGTATCTGATAAGACTGATAAGGTCAGAGGAATGTAGACTTCCTAGTAGTGTGGTCTTGAGACTCCTGTAGCCTTGCCTTCTCTTCTTCCAGTGTCAGCTTCCTGCAACAGGATCCTTCTGGAGAGGGGCAGTACTGTTAACAGTAACAACAATGACAACAGCATTTTATGTTGTGCCTCCTATATATGAGGCACTCTGCTAAGTACTTTACAAATATTACCTCATTTGTTCTTCACCATAAGATAGTTACTATTATTACTATTATTATCCTCATTTTACAGTTTGGGAAACTGAGGCAGACAAAGGTTAAATGACTTGCCCAGGGTGACATAGTTACTAAGTGTCTGATGTCAGATTTGAACTTGGGTCTTTCTGACTCCAGGCCTAGGGCTCTAGCCACTCCTTATAGCCAGACCTTATAGAGAAGTTGCTAACTTGGATCAGTCCTAGGTAATTTCCTCACTAGAGACTTCCCTAAACCCGTGGTATCAAACTTAGTCTGAAAGAAGGGCCACTATACTGTACATGAAGATCTCTACTCTCAAAGAGCTTATATTTTATCAAGGAAGACAAGGTGTAATGCATGCATACACATATACGTATGTATGTGTGTGCATAACACAAGCACACACGTAGAAATGTATATGCAAGGGTGCATTCATAAATGTTTAACAACTGGCTTTCAGGGTTGGGGGGGTAAAATATCAGCACAACACATTTTTAAATTTAATCTGTATTAACATTTTCTCCATCATTTTCTTAAGTCTAGACAATCAACAAAATCAATCAAGCACTGATTTGTAGCATTTGCTAATTTCTGGGGTATAAATACTCAGACCGAATACTTAATGATTGGCTCTCAAGCCAGTTCAAGCTAGCTCCAACATCCCCTTGTATATAGTGCGTGAGGATAATTTCCTCAGTGAATTCCCTAGAAGTCACTGTTTGCTAGAACATTGATGTCAAGCTCAAATGTAAACACGCCACTAAACTGTACATAAAGATCCCTACAGCCCTCGTGTTGACTTAGAAAACCACACACTAATGGTATCTGTGTTCTCTTGCATTTTTGAGTTCTTTTTGTTAAATATTTCCAGATTGCGTTTTAATCTGATTACTTGAGAGTGTTGCTGCCTGCTGGCTGTTTGACACATTTCTTATAGACCATTGAAATTCCAAGTTTGTTAGCCTTGTCTTATAGACTATGAATTTTTTTAAAATTTAAACAAAAAAAAAGAAAATATTAAAATTATGCATCATATCTTTGCTCTTATAGCTTTCTTTCTTTCTTTCTTTCTTTCTTTCTTTCTTTCTTTCTTTCTTTCTTTCTTTCTTTCTTTCTTTCTTTCTTTCTTTCTTTCTTTCTTTCGCTAGGCAATAGGGTTAAGTGACTTACCCAGGGTTACACAGCTAGTGCGTGTTATGTGTCTGAGGCTGGATTTGAGCTCAGGTCTTTCTGACTCCAGGACTGATACTCTATCCACTGTGCCACCTAGCTACCCCACTTATAGCTTTCTTTGAATGAGAGTTGGTGGCTTTGAAATGCTGTCTTGAAAGAGACACAAAACAGGTTATTTTGCACATACTTGCAATACAGATGAAGTTTCTGAAACACAAGCATCCACTAAATAATATCTTTCATGATAAATTTAGAAAGATCTTTGGGTATTATCACTATGGATCCCTGTAATCATAATAATTTATCATCCATATTTTAAAAAAATAGTATCTCTGTAGGAGTAGACCTATGTTACTCCTCTCTTTAGAAAATTTCAATTCTCTGTGGCTTTGAAGTAAAAATAAAACTCTCTTTTGGCATTTAAGGCCCTCCACCAGGGTGAGTGTGTAGCTACCTTTCTGATCTTATGCCTTACTACTCTCTTCATGAACTCCACATTCCAGGCAAATGGGACTAATAATTGTCCCCAAAATTCAACGCTCCATCTCCAGTATCAGTGTTCCCTCAATCCATGCCCTGCACATGTAATGTAGTCCCTTAATTGCATTTCAAAAGCCTTACCTTTTACTATGATTCAGCTTAGATGCCACATCCTCTGAGAAACTTTTCTTAATTGCCCCAGTGTTCTTGGTACTAGACTAGCCACATAACCTTCTTCCTCCTAAGAACTTCTAGAGTCCTGTCACAAATAATTCCCCTCCTTACTCTCCCAACCTGACATTTCCTGCCTCCAGACTGATTCCTGAGGACCATAGGCCAAAACAGTGGCCGGGTCTCTGTTCGTGAATGCATCTCCTGCCTCCTGATGTAGCTCCCAGACTCCTCAGGATATACTTCTTCTTTCTTATGCCTGCCATGAGGCAGGCTTCCTAGTCCCTTACAGTACACAGCCAGACAGCCAGAAACGAGGTTCAGCAACTTGAGGGATAACCTAGAACCTTTGAATCACCTGCCTTCTTCAGTGGACCTCCCCCTACCCAGTGATAGTCTTCTTGGGTTCTTGCAATCGTAGTTAGCTTAGTCCTACTCTCTTCTTGCTCTTCCCTTTGCAGAATTGAAACCTGAGACTGCCTATAAATACTCCCTGCCCCAACCCATCCAGCTGTACATTCCATCATTTCCCATTCCACCTCAACCCTATATCCCAACTCCAGGCCTGTCTTCCCCTTCCATGGTGTCCTCTGGAGTTCCTGTTCCATAATTAACAAATTTCTCACGTTTAATCATCCTTTCTCACTCTTCACTCACTAAGATGTAGCATCTCTCCTGACGATGATGCATCCATGGCCGTCCTTTTCTATACTAGTTGCACTCATAACCACAGTCTCGCTGGTCCACTGTGAGACAATCAGAATACTAGCCCATTGCTTGAGGTTTCCATTTCCTTTATTGCAGTCACTCAGCACCCTCTCTTCCTTTGAGATTCGTGCTATCTAAACTGATCACCCCGTCCAGTCTGGGTAACCATTATCTACCAAACCCCAGGACATTGTCCCTTCTTTCTCAATGTTTCTTTCTCAGAGTTAATGCTTGACTCAGCCTTCCTCTCTGCCCCAGTTCCTTTCCTTATGCCAGGGGACTTCTGTACACATCAAATGAGATAATATGTGAAGCACTCTGAAAACCGTAAAGCTGTATGTAAGTGATAGCTATTACTGTCTTCATCATCATGGTTGTTATTATTAGTGTAAGTATTGATGTTCCCTCAAATGCTCTAACTCAGCAATTCCTCAGCCTATTTAAGTCCCAGAACTCCTTGTTTACCTCAGCTACACACAAGCTGTTATTGTTGAATTGTTTCAGTTGTGTCCGACTCTTTGACCCCTCTTTGGGATTTTCTTGACAAGGATACTGAAGTGGTCTGCTATTTCCTTCTGCAGCTCATTTTACAGATGAGGACCTGAGGCAAACAGGGATTAAGTGACTTGCTGAGGGTAGCACAGCTATTAAGTGTCTGAGTCCAGCTTCATACTCATGAAGATGAGTCTTTCTGATTCCAAGCCTCATGCTCTATCCATTGTGCCACCTTGCTGCCCCAACTAGTCCAGCTAGGAAATAGTCACATCCTTAATCCTTACAATCACTTACAAGTATTTCATTTCCATGTGTATGAACTCAAAAATCTCATTACTTGGTCATAATATTTTATCATTCTACTTTTTTTCCCTATGTGTTATGAACCTTAACTGCATTCTTCATTCTCATCTCGACTTCCAGTGCCTCCATCTCTCAGTATTTTCCTAGGTCCTTCCTTCCCATTTCTGATCCTTGACTGTTCAAAACTCTTGAATCCCTTACCCTCTTGGCCTTTTGCTGACCACAAGCTGCTAAACCTCAACCATTTGTTTCCTTTTGCTTCTGCTCACTCTTTAGTATGTTTTCATTGCTTTTGCATTTTGTTGCTTGGATATAGAAATGACCTCCTGTTCCACTACCATGGCTTCTGAAATGGATAAAACAAGGGATTCTGCAAGGCACAGATTTTTAGAGAAGTTAAATGACTCGTCCAGAAATGGTGGTTAAGCCCAGGTTTTCAGATCTGGTGCACTTCCTACTACATAACCTCATTATTGACTTAGATATCTTGCAAAGTTTAAGATGCTTTTTACCTCTATGAACTCAGTGGATCCAAACCTGGCCTCTTTATTGTAGGCATGATTAAACCTAAAGCAGGCTCTGAAAAAAGTATGATTTTCAGTGGTCCTTAGTAATGACTATGTTTTTGGTGATCATAATTTTCCCTATTTTACAGCAAACCCATGATGGATTTGTTAATATACCTTTGTGCACAATATCATTTAAACCCATCAAGCTATACAATTGACCTGTTATCAGTGGGAAAAACGCCAATTAAATTTAAACCCAACACACCAGTTGGAATGCTGGAAGTGGAGAAAGTAATTCTGAAACCAAAAAATCTGGATAAGAAGAAGCCTACACCAGTGATACCGGAGGTAAGAGCTGTCATTTCGATTTTGATGTCATGCTGTAGGTGAGGAGAAATGTCATACTGTGCATGGTTGATTTTCAGTCATTAATAACACTTTATTATAATTTAATTGAAAACAAATTTGGTGAATGGAACGTGACTAAAAGGTGCTATCAAGTCTTCAGAGTATAAACTACTGGGGGAGAATTGTTACTGAGAGGCCCAGATCAGATTATTCTTTGCCAGCTTTTCAAATTAGTTATATTACAAACATTTTCATTTAAGAAAAATAAAAAGTTAGTATTTACTATTCTAAAACTATTGGAAATAGTATTCATTTAAATGTTTAAGTAGATAAAAGGATAATTTTTTGATAAAACAATTATAAACTATAAATTACTTTCAGGGTGGGCTATTCTATTGTATACATAATTCTTTATTATATGTTTTTAAAAGTTATATTTCATGTCAGTGACCTTTTTTGTATTCATTTTCTGGGTCAATTCAATCAATTTCCCTGGACAATGAGATATAGGGATATACAGAATACAGAAAATCTAGTGGTCATTAACTATGTAAATCTATGTTACTTTGTGGAACACAAAATTTCATATATTAAATATAACATTCACAGGATAAAGCTTATGGTATGGTCTTTATTACTCGATAAACATAATATCACTATTTTAAAAACTTTTAAGTTTCCTTCATTTTTAAGAAGGTGAGTTTATTTTTAAATTAAATTTTGTTGGTGCCTTTTCTCTTTCTGTATCATATTTGTTTATAGATATATCCCTTCACCACCTCTTGTAACTAAGATTTTGAAAAGAAAGAAAAAAGCAAAACTAACCAACACGTTGAACTCTGACAATATATAAAATATTTCGCACTGATAGTTCACTCACTTCTGCTAGGAGAAATGAGAGGTTCATTTTCTCAACTCTTCTCCAATCCAAGCTGGATTATTAAAATTAAACAGCATTTTATTTCATTCTTTTTCTCGCCATTTATATTTTGTACGGGGTGTATGGGGTATTCAAGGAGGTCTAGCACTTCTGGTGTGAGTCCTTATCAGGGCTGCTCATCCACTTTTGGTGTTTACCTGGTCACCCAACTCTCACCTGTGGCTCCAAGAAGCTGTAGTATGAGCAGCAGCCACACCCCAGTAAATGATTTTGACAGACAGGATGAAACAGGTTGAGGATAACTGATCGCTGGACCAGACCAAGTATATACAGAAGAAATAATCTGTGCTGAATACAGTACAGTTTCAACATCACTGAAGAATTAATTTTCAGGATTAATTTTTGAGGAGGAAAGTTTTATGAAGTATTATTAGCAAAAAAAATTGAGCATATCTCAGCAATTATAATTTATATGCTTGCTTTCTCATCTCTACGAAATGTTTATGAAGAATGGCAAAAACACTAAGCAAAATAGAAATAGAATGTCACTTAATTAAAATAGGGTGATTTGTCCTTAATGACCAAGTAGGATGCATAATTGGATCCATATCCATACCTTGAGGGGCAGCTAGGTGGTACAGGGGATAGAGTGCTAGGCCTGGAGTCAGGAAGACTTGGGTTCAAATGTGGCCTCAGATACTTACTAGCTATGTGACCCTGGGCAGTCACTTAACCTTGTTTTCCTCAGTTTCCTCATCTGTTAAATGAGCTGGAAAAGGAATTGGCAAAACACTCCATTGTCTTTGCCTAGAAAACCCCAAAAGGGGTCACAAAGTGATGGACATGGCTGAAAAAAACAAAAACCAAACTGAATCCACACCCTTATAGCATATGTCAAAATAAATTCTAACTGGATCATCAATCAAAGCATATTTTTGAAACCTTGTAAAAACTGGAAGGAAAAAGAATCATATACTTCTCAACTATGGAGAGCATAGATTACTAAATCAATTCAGTTTAACAAATATTTATGAAATACTAATTATATGTTAGATACTTGGGACAAAAATAAAGCCATACATGTTTTCATACACAAATGAGTATAGTACAAAGAAAATTGAAGTGGGAGAAAATGTTAACAACACAAGGAGTCAAAGAATCACATAGAAGGAGGCATCTGAATCCAGCAAGTATTTGACACAGAAGAAAATGAAGTTTAAAAGTCTGTCTTATGAGAAAGTCTCCCATCATGTGAGTTTTTTTTTCTATTTGAAAAACAGCTTTGAAAGACTTAAGAACTCCAATCAATGCAATGTGTCACCATGTCTTCAGAGGCTGTACAATGAGGCATGTTACCTGACTTTTGTCAGAGAGATATTGGACATAAGGTGCAGAAAGAGCTATACATTTTTGGACTAGGGGGAAACAAAGATCATGTGAGAGTCCTTTATAGGTGCAACCAGAATGAACTTTAATTGATCCTTTCCAGTATAAGAGATGCACGTGCTTGCCAAAGGTACTCAGCAAGTCATGAAGGTGATGATATGCACAAATTGTTTTCTCTGTGCTTTGTAGATGGTATTGTGATTTTTCCATTGGATCCCAGTATCCTAAGGCTTCTTCAATGAAATATCAATGGCTACTCAGAGAAATCAGTCTAGTCTGCATAGGAAAGAAAAAAACCCAAAAAACCAAATAAATAAAGATTGTTCTTTTACTTTATACTATGACATGAAATTAAATTGTCAAGCTATTTTTTATGAGCATGTATGCAGTGAGCTATACCCAGGATGGATTAAGATAATCATACTCAAATATAAATAAATACAAATAAAGATAACTCACAATTAAATATAAATACAGATATGTATAAAATGCTAAGCAGTTAAATTAGAATGGAGACCTCATATAAATCTATCAATTAGTAAAGCATTAGCAAAATATGTATTTCTTGAATAAAGAATAGAAAAGAAGTTTACCTTTTTATGTTTTCTAATTTTAAAATAATAACATAAAAGAAACAAGGTAACTCATCAATTGATCTTAGACTTTGTTGAATCAATCAATCAATCAATAAACATTTTACTAAGGGCCCACAATGTACTGAGGAAAGAAATATATCTTATAGTTTGATTCTAAAATACTATAAATTATACTAAATTGATATCATTTGGTTTAAAGACTCCTGTAGAAGTAGGAAAAAAATTGATCAAAATAACTTTTAGATGTTGACATAAAATTAGTCTTAATTATGTATGAATATTGCTAGGAATATGAATTCTAGGTTTCCAGGTCATTGAAATTCATCCTTGTTCTTTTATCGGTTTTTAATTTTACTATGGCTGCTAGGTGATGCAGTGGATAGAGTATTGGGCATGGAACCAGGAAGACTCATCTTCCTGAGTTCAACTCTGGCCTCAGATACTTAACTAGCTGGGTGACTCTGGCCAAGTCACTTAACCTGGTTCGAACATGATGGTTCATCATGTATAAAATGAGCTTGGAAAGGAAATGGAAAACCACTCCAGTATCTTTGGCAAGAAAACCCCAAATGGAGTCACAAAGAGTTGGACATGATTGAAATGACTCAACAACAATCACAAAAACATCACTGTAACTTTAATTTTTTAAAACTTTATTATTTTTATTAATTTATTTTGATTTATCAACAATCACTTCCATATGCTTTTGAGTTTAAAATTCCCCCCCCCTCCCCACCACCCTCCCCAAGACGGCACACAATCTGATATAGGCTATACATATACATTCCTGTTAAACACATTTTCATGTTCCTGATGTGGTAAGTAAGAATTAGAACCAGTAGGAGGAACCACCAGAAAGAGGAAACAAAATTCAACAGAAGAAGAAAAAGGCTAGCATATAGTATGCTTCAATTTGTATTCAAATTCCATAGTTCTTTCTTTGGATATGAATAGTATTTTCCATCACGAGATCTTTGGAGATATCTTAGATCCTTGTATTGGTGGGAAGGGTTAAGTTTATCAATATTAGTCATTAGACAACGTGGCTGTTATTGTGTACAACGTTCTCTTGGTTCTGCTCACTTCACTCAGCATCAAATCATGCAGATCTTTCCAGGTTTTTCTGAAATCAGCCTGTTCATCATTTCTTATATCACAATAGTATTCCATTGCATTCATAGACCACAACTTGTTCAGCCATTCCCCAATTGATGGGCATCCTCTCAATTTCCAATTCTTTGCCACTACAAAAAGAGCTGCTATAAATATTTTTGTACATGTGGGTTCTTTTCCCATCTGTATGATCTCTTTGGGATATAGCCCTAGAAATGCTATTGCTGGGTCAAAGGGTATGCACATTTTTATAACCCCTTGGGCATAGTATAATTTTAATTTTTATATTTTATTTTAGCAAACTGTACGAGTAGTGATAAACTACAAGAAAACACAGAAGACAGTTCTGAGAGTTAGTCCACACGCATCCCTTCGAGAACTCACCCCCATTATCTGTAGTAAATGTGAGTTTGACCCTTTACACACCATATTGTTGAAGGACTACCAATCTCAGGAGCCTCTTGATCTGACTAAGTCCTTTAATGACCTTGGACTACGGGAACTCTATGCGATGGATGTCAGCAAAGGTAAGACTATTTTGTTTCATTTGATAGTTGATACATTATGTGTTTTCTCTACTTCTTAACTGGTAAATTAATAAAAGTCTGTAGGACAAGAAAGTAAGGGAAACTGAACGACAAAAACATTACTGATTTCATCTCATGAAACTGGAATAAGAAACTGAATTTCTCAGTTAAAGTTGATCATTTCCATTTCTCATCAACCTAAAATTTTTTTGGCTAAAAATGGAATAGCTAACACAGCTTCTTAGATTTAAACAGGAAAAAAATGGAGTAACATCTTGTGAATTCCTTGTTCTCCTAATAAAGTGTGAACTGCTATTGACTGACTGAAGTCCCATCTGTATTCATTTATTTCATTTAAGCTTAACAATGTCATGTTAAAAAATGTCCTAAACCTAGCATCTGACATAAATTGGTTAAAAAAGATGATTTTTTTTTTATACTTGGAGGCCTATAAAGAAGTATTCCATGCAACTTTAACACATGGCAAGATAATTTCATATTGTAAGATTTGAAGATTTTTAAAGCATGTTGGTTTGGCATGCTTTAGAATAGTTTCTTAATGTATAAATGCAGGCATATGTTTTCCTAATAAATACTAATACTATTGTTTGGATTTATAAAATAATTTTTGTTTTTTTATCCTTTTGAAGGAAATAAATTTTGAAGAAAGAAAACAATTATTCTGCCTTTAGAAAATATTAACACTTTCCCTAAGACGGTGTTAAGATATAATTTACACCCCTTTCTTTGTCACAGTAACATTTTGAACTTGAACAAACATCATCATTATAGTAAACTCACCCTTTTTTTATCCCCTCCCTCTATAGCTCCTTCTGTTACTGACTTCAGTTTATCATCTTTACAAGGTAAGAGCTATAGATTTGGGTTTTTAATATTACACACAGTAGGAAGAGTGTGTCACACCGTGATATTTCTACTTATTGGTCACTGGGTAAATTGAAAGTGTGTCTAAGCTCTAGAATACCTGCTGAGCTTTCACAAATTGTTACCAACAAGGGCACAACCAGCATAAATGCTCTGGTAGCTTATGGATTTTAATTTAGAATAGCATTGATTTCATTCACTCAAATGTGCTTTCAAAAGTTACCACTCAGATTCTGAAAAATGTGTTACATACATTCTTCTCGCTTTCTAAACTTGCTATATTAGAATCTCAGAGCTAGAAGGCACCTTCAAGGTTTTCCGGTCCAGGCTACTATGCAGTTCAGGAGCCCTGCTGACAATATGCTTGATAGATAGTTAGCCTCTTGTGGAAGAGAGCTCGCTACCTTACAAGGCACACCATTCTCTTTTGGGAACAACCTGAATTGTTAGGAAATCAACCCTTTGTTACTGCTTCTAATTCTGAGAGATTGCAATACAGTAAGAAGAGATAAGAATTTGCATGGAAAGTATCACCCAGAACATCTGGTTGGCTGGACAGTTTGTGCTATATTCTCAGCAAGTTTAACTTCTTTTTTTTTCCTAGTTCAATAAGTTTATTTTTGAAAATGTACACAAATGTTGAACCATTTCATGCATCTTCAGCAGCTGGAGCATCTCCACCCTTGGTGTTCCTGGTATAGATCACTTGTGCCTGTGTTTGGAAACTAGCTTAATTAGACCGTTACTGAGCAGTTCCTGGAGGGCTGCCCAGGCTAGAGAGCCCCGGATCTTCAGTCTCTCGGAGACTACTGCAGGGGTGATAAGTTTATAGTTGGGGACTTCCTTGCAGAGTTTGTCGTAGGTTGCTTTGTCAAACAGAACCAGATTGTTGAGCTTGTCCCGAACTTTTCCTTTGGACCACTTCTTCTTCTTAGCTTTGCCCCCAGACTTGTTCACGGGATCTTTGTCCTTCTTGGCTGACTTGCCAGCATCTTTCTTCTTCTTATCGTCCTTGGGCGGCATGGTGAGGCTCCAAGAACTCCCGCTGCTGCCGCCTCCAAGCTAAGATGTCGGATAGAAAGCCAAGTTTAATAAACTTCTATGTGTCTTCCAATTTATCCTCACCCAAATGCTTTCTACTATTCATCCTTTCTCGGGCTAATGGGTACCTGTGTAATTTACCTGAAATCCCTACATAAATTGGTATATTTAAGAGAAAGCGTTCTAAAATGAAAAGCAAATGCTATTTTTCTTTCAAAGGTGAATTATACAAAATAATTTTAGTGCAAATTTTTTAGATCATGTGGCTTGGTGGACAAAGGACAAGCTTTGACTTCATGAAGACTTGGGTTCAAGTCTATACAAATGTGTGTACACAAAGTGCCTCTGTACACATGCTGGCTAATTAACGATAAGCCAATCACTCAGTTCTTAGTATTCCAGACATATTACTAAGTGGACAGAAATTTTTTCTACACTGGGAGCTCTCCTACACTGACAAACTTACTGGTTTGGATGTATGAATTAAGTTATAGAATAGAATTAGTTTCATATGGAAGAATTTTAGTTTTTTATCCCCTTTTGTGTATCTAGGAAATCATCCTGTTCCAACCAGATGAGTGAGAACAATTCAAAACATTTTTTTAAGCAGAAAGAAAGGAAAAAAATATTAACACCTTGGGGAGAATCTTTTTTGCTTTTCTCTTCAAAAATGTTTTATAATGATAGCAAAAATACTTTGTTCTTTTTTGCTAGAAAGTAAGACACTATAAGCCCCGGCTTTTTCATCTGTGAAACTGGGTAAGATGATCTCTCAGGGACTCCTTGATCTCAGTTCATAATTTGAGAAACACAGTGAATATAGATATTGATAATCAGTACCCATGAAAACTGTAAATTAGAAAGTTTTTGTTGTAGATCATTTCACACATCTTCTGCTCTCACCTTCACTCTTCCCCAAACCTCATTTGGAGACTAAAGGGCATAGTGTAGATTACCTTAATTCAAGTGGTTGGTAGCTTAGCCAACATCAAGTATAGATGAATTTGTGGTCTGTTGAAAAGACAATTAGGTTTAGAATTCCAAGTATTGTTCAGCTCCTCTCCCCCTATTGTTATTTCTTCTTATCACTACCATGGCCCCATAGGAAACTCCCTACAAATATTGCCCAAGAGTTTGCTTTAGGAAAAAGGTAAGTATTAGAAACTTGGGACCCCAGTTCTGTGTTAGCTATGTCCTCCATTTACCTTTAAGTGCTTTATGGTAACTTCTATTATACTTCTACACCACGCTTTGTGTTGCTAAAGGTTAAATACTAATTGTTCTGTCCATAGGTACAATCTGTGAGTAATGGTAGTTGCCCCACTAGGAACCCAACTGGTCAGTTCCAGTTGGGCAGTTCTGCTCCTTCCTTTTTTCCTTCTTTCCTTCCTTCCTTCTATCCATGCTGGCTTAATTTTTTTTAAAAGTTTCTGAGATGTATCATATAAATAATATAAATAATATTTAGTTTAGTTATTACTCATTGTCAATAAACTTAGTATGTAGAACAATTAAGAGCATTGGAAAGTAGGGAACAAATTCCTTTTACATCACTTGAAATCAGATTTTAGAATACTTTATTAGACAGTGATATCCAGTGAGAAACTCTTAATGTTATAGCCCTCCTAGCTTGAAGATATGGAGCCCGAAAAGGAAAGTCATGATGATGTTCCAGAAGCTGAGAGGGTGAATGGTAAAATTCATGTGTATTGAGTAGAGCTAAGGAGCAGAGAAACTGCCAAGTGTTCTTCCTCAGCTCCCCCCCCAAGTTTTACAAACTCTTTTCTCATTTTTTCCCTTTCTGTCTCTCTTTATCTTATCTCTCTCTTATCGCCTCTTGTTCCTTCCTGTGTCTTTATTTCTCTTCCTCTGCCTCTTTCATATTCCCCTTTTTTCTCTCTCAGCCTTCTCCCATGTTTGTTTCTTTTTTAATTAGTTGACCATGATATTTAATTTTTTTATTTGCTGTATATAGCAAATAAACTTTATTTCCTGTTATTGATTTTAAAATAAGATAATAGAATGTCTTAGATTTTTTTTAAAAAAAATACCCACTCTCTTAAAAAAAAAATACCAAAACTCCAAACCCTAACTCTCAGTGAGGTTGTTTAACTATCATATGGCCACTTTTGTCAGAACTTCTCAATAGAAGAGTTACCAATCTGAGAGAAAGGAAAGGCTATTTTGTAATATTTTAGGATAAATTATCTCTAAGTAAACTGAAGCAAGTATAACTTTTCCAACAAAGATTATTTTTTAAAGTGGCAGAGTATACATGTCCTGCATTTCAGATTATAATTGAACTTTGTTTGGAAAGTCTTCATTTATTGCTAACAGATTGTTACTTTTTCATAATTAGGAAACACCTTTACTGTTTTGTAATTAGGGGGTAGGGTGCTGGTGACTTTATTAAAATCAAATTTATTGTTAAACTGAAAATAGAGAAGATATGCATCTCTTCAGATAAAGAAAGTTCATAGGGAAAAGTATCAAGGATTGAAGTAGGTTGGTCATTTGGAAAAGTATGTAAGCCAAAGCATCCATTTTAAATTGTCTTTAATGCTGATGGCATCCAAAGTGCTTGGCATCCATCAGTAGTTAAAAAAGCATGAGAAAAACCATCAACCAATCCCCCTCATCACCTGTTATAAATCTTTTGCTTGAACTTTGTACCTGAGGCTTAATGTAATTATTGTTTTAAGACCATATTATCACTTATAGCTTTTTTTTTTGAAAGTTTAAACACTTAAAGTCATTTGGCTGGGATGGTGTGGCTACTGAAGTGGTTATGGATTTTCCAAGAGAAGCCATGCTATGTGATTTTTATAAATATCATGCAATGGAGATTTTGGAGAATACTAATAGACCTAGTAAACATAAATTTTTGTTGTTGTTATTGGTGAGGCAATCAGGGTTAAGTGACTCACCCAGGGTCACACAGCTAGTAAGTGTCATATGTCTGAGGTGGAATCTGAATTCAAGTCCTCCTGACTCTGAGGCCAGAGCTCTACCTACTGCACCACCTAACTGCCCCTAAATACATCTTTTTGAAAAACTAAGAAAAATATGGGGTGATATATAAATATATCCTGTATAGACCTGGACAAATTTTATTATTCTGTAATCAAAGTCTCTTAAAATTTAAGAAGCAAATAATAATAACCATGAAGCTTCTTGAACAAGTGTTCAGTAATAATTTGGATTCATGTGTTTTGCAGAACAAAATGTTATTTATAGTAGTTTAGCTATGAGCCAAAAGCATAAATGAAAAGGAGAGAAAAGTAACATAATTGACACTTTTCAAGGCCCAGTTAAAACAACTTTTTGGCATTTACCTTCTTAAGATTTTTAGTTATTATTGAATGTATACATATTCTAAAATGGACAGTAAGAAAAAGAAACCTAAGGAAAAGGAGGACTCAGATAATGAAACAAAAATGAAAAAAATGAAAAAAAAAGAGTAACATGTCTTTTTTTTAAATTTTAGACTCCTGCCAAATATCTCAAAACCTAGACACTATGAAAGAAAAAGAAAATAAAAAGTTTTTCAGCTTTTTTCAACGTAGCAAGAAAAAAAGGGAACAAGTAAGCATTTTTAAAGTTAAAGATGTACTTTGTAATGTTACTTATAAACAAATTTTTGTACTTTATTTTCTGAAGCTTCCCTAATACTTATGGTACTTTCCTTCCAACCTCCACCTTTTTATTTTTCATAAGACTTCAAGTGCTCCAGCAACTCCATTGATAAGTAAACCTCGGCCAACTTTTACGAGATCAAATACTATCTCTAAACCATATATTTCAAATACACTGCCATCTGACGTACCAAAAAAGAGGAGGGCTCCCTTGCCTCCAATGCCAACCTCTCAGAGCGCCCCACAGGATCTTGTACATACTCAGACAAGACCAGCTTCCTGTGTAGTGAAGTCTGTTAGTGTGGATGAAACAAATAAGGTGAGTTATTGTTCCTGTTATATGTTTTTAAACTATTCTTTCTTCTTCAGTTACTAATAGACTTGAGAAGGGAAGATTTTGCTGCTGGGGAAGGGAGAGTGTCAGGTAATGTTACTAGGAATTCGGTCTATATAAAGTTATATATGTTATATAGTTTTATATAAAGTTTTATTATTGTATGATTATATATTTTATATAAAGGGTTTTTTTTACTAAAAGGAGAAATATGTGATTAATGATTCAGAAATTTTCACTTTGAAGAAAATAAATGATTTATTAATGTGAGTTACTAGAAAGTATTGATAAGGTACTAAGGCTTAGGTAATGACTTTGTCCTAACACTTGGATCCATGCTTGTTCACACGGTACCCATGAGGCTCTTATGTTGGGAAGTCCTTCACTACTGTTAAATGACCTATGTACAAAGTTTTATGGCATTCATCATCAGATAAACCCTTGTCCTAAATGACTTTATTAGCTTCCTACTGGGTTCATGGTAGCATCCTAGGTATTATACAGAAATTACACTAAAAAAAATGTGAACATGAGGAAATAAATGCTTGAGTTTGTGATTAAAAAGGAAGGAAAGTAACTGGAACCAAATAGTTATTGCTTTGTTCAGTCATTTTTCAGTAGTGTCTGCCTCTTCATGACCTCCTTTGAGGTTTTCTTGGCAAAGGTACTGGAGTGGTTTGCCATTTCCTTCTCCAATGGATTCAGTGGAGTTTATGAAGTTAATTAGCGTCTGTCAGTATCACAATTGAATATTGGTAATAGAAGATGTTCTTTTCATGAAACTATGATCACTTTCATTTAAAATTCTTCTAAATGAAAATAATTCTCTCAAACCTTACTCCTTTCCCCTCAACTTCCTTCAGCCCCCACCCCCACCCCTGCCCCAGTCAGTGGTATTATCATTTCGTCAGCTAACGATCTCACAGGCACTTCTTACTACACTTTCTCTTCTCTCTTGCCTTCAGGGACTCCATACGTTCCTGATTCTTCTTTTTGTAATTATTCCTTCTCGTTCCTTCACTGGTTACTTGTCCTCATCCTCTAACTCTTTCGAATATTGATTTGAATACTTCTCCATGACTCTGGCTGTGATACCCTTCCCTTTTCTATCTATCCTCTCTGTTTGGGTATTCTTATTCACTCCCATCACTAAGCGCATGAGCAGCTAAGGACATTTCTACCCCTGCTGTTCATCCAACAACTGGGTGGGGCATAACTTTGTATCATTCTCATCATACAGCATGTTGTTTTGCACAAAGAAAAAGCTTAATAAATGTTTGTTGAGTGAATGTGTATGTCTTGGCTCCTCTACTAGGTGATTAATTCCTTCAAGTAAGGATCTTTGGTTATACTGTGTGTCTGCGTGTGTGTGTGTGTGTGTGTGTGTGTGTGTGTATGTGTATATATGTATATGTATACACACACACACACACATATTTATTTAATCCCCCAGGGAATTGAGCATAGTGCTATACATATAATAGATATTTAATAGATACTTGTTGAATGAATTATGTCATGATTATCACACAGTCATGATATACAAAGGGAGGGGGGAGTGACTTTGCTTTCAAGCCTTCCATTTGTACTTAATTTATACGTTTACATACATATTTAATGTATCTAATATGAATACAGGTGAACCACATGTGGCAATGCATAAATATCTAATCGGGGATAAGACTGCAGTTTCCACCTTTGCAGAGAACAGAAGGAGTGGGAGTGGGGTAGGAAGGATCTAGGATTGCTTATCTCTGGGCAATCCCTTCTTCACTCTTCTCTCTCCAAGAGGTATATTGGACTAGAATTATATGTATCTATCACACGTCAAATATGTGTAGTCTAATGGTGTGATAAGATGTTTAGGGTGGAAAAAAAAAGAGCTGCTTTTCTCTGCCTTCTTTCGGAGGGGAGAAGATGGAAGGGAAAAAGCATTTTTAAAGGCCCGCTATGTCCCATGTACTGCACCGTTTGCTTTATAATTGTTTATCTCATTTGATGCTTACTACAACCTTGTAAGGTAGGTTTAAACACGTCAGGTTAATTTTTAGCAAAGGATCAAAGCAGATGTTGCCAGTGTATATCTAATCTCTGCATACCTGTATTTCTTGTTGGTTTTGACTCAAAAATTAAAATGATCATTTAAATGAATTAAACAGCTAGAATGCTGAAAGAGATAAAATGTGACAGAGCATCCGGTTTATTTTGCTTATCTGTCTATGAAGATTCTTGCTAAGTAAGCTGTTTATTCTCAAGAGAACATTTCTTTTTTGTGAGTGAAAATAAACCACAAGAGAGCGCTGTTTAACAAAGGTATACTTTGTTTTTTCTGGGTTTCATTTTTCTTTTTAAATGAGAAGAAAGCATACTTTAATAAAGGAGATGAGAAATGTTGAACCACTGTATAACCTAAATTTTTTTGGAAATAATGTAACTTAATATTAATATAACTTAATAATTTTATGTATTTATCTAAGTATTTGTAGCAGAGAAAAATAGATTAGCAACTGAAGATAGCTGATATCTAATTATGGTCAGCAAGTTATTTGAAATTGTGATAGCTGTCTTTATTTTGGGCCATCAGGTTGCATATTAATATTTTCTAGTAGGCTGTGATGGATTAATGGACACATAAATGGTATTTCAATATATGTTGTCTGCCTCAGGAAACAGGCTTTTCAGGTGGAGTTAAAGATCTACAAAATACCATTCCTCCTCCTCCAACCCCCAAAATGGCCATCCATACTTTCTCTTGTCTGTCTGTCTGCGTTTAGTAAGTTAAACACACTCCTTTTCAGTCAGTACTGTATCATCTAAATTACTCATAATACTAATAATTATAATAATAAAGTTTAGAAATTACACTGTGTCTATTCTCATTTGAGCCTCATAGCGGACTTCAGAGGTAGTTGCTATATGTCATCCATCCTACAGATAGGAAAGTGAAGCTGAGACATGTCCAAGGTCACAAAACCAGCAGAAACTGGACTTGAATCTATGTCTTCCTGATGATGAAGTAAGCTCTCTATCCATTATACCATTTTCCTCTCTGATACGATAACATATTTCAGTCATCTGAAAGATACATCAGGCTTAGCCCATTATACCAATTCACATATAAAAATACTTATTCACACCTGATTTGTTTATTTTTTTTTATTCAGCCAAAACATTTTATGATTCTTCTGTTCTTTATGGGTCAGCCCCCACTGTTTTCACAAAGGAAAAAAGAATGAAAAATGTTTATTTCATGCTTTATTTGAGTATCAGTAATTGCCTTTTAAAACAGGATTGGCAAACTGAGGACCCTGAAAAGGCCTCTTTGAGCTTAAATATTATGGCTCTCATGGGAATATACACTGGAAAGGCTACTGGTCTTCTAAGCTAATTTTATTTTATTTATTTTATATTTTTTTTTGTGAGGTGGTTGGGGTTAAGTGACTTGCCCGGGGTCACACGGCTAGTGTTAAGGGTCTTGTGTGAGGCCGGATTGGAACTCAGGTCTTCCTGACTCCAGGCCTGATGCTCTATCCACTTCGCCACCCAGCTGCCCATTCTAAGCTAATTTTAGCAGATGATTAAATAGTTTCCAAAGAATTGCTGAAGGGGGAAAATATTTTCTTTTCCCAAAATTTTTCTTTAAAATTTCCATCTAAAATTCATTTTTTGTCCAAAAATAAGACTGAGTTTGGAGTGAGGTGGTGGCAAAGACTGCATTTTTCTTCCATAAAATATTAGGTCATTGGGAAAAAAAAAAGGGAACTTTTTAATCAACTCAAGTACTTCTGTTCTCCTTTCCTTAGTGTTTTAGACTAGGTATTAATTTCCAGTTTAAACATGGGCCTGTTTATATTTCTGAACAAAATTTCAGTGAATGAAAAGGGGGACACAGAATGGCGTAATGAAAAAAAAAACTAGTGAATTTGGATTAAACAATGACTGCCATGTGCAAGTGACCTTGACTTAGACTTCTATGGAAGTCTTTCCCAATCTCCTTTAATTTGAGGGCTTTCCTCTGTTGTTTATTTCCAAGTTATCCTACATATAGCTTGTTTGTACGTAGTTATTTGCATGTTGTGTCCCCCATTAGACTGTGAGTTCTGTGAAAGCTAGAACTGCTTTTTGCCCTTCTTTGTATCCCCAGTGCTTAGCATAGTGCCTGGTACATAGTAGGTGCTTAATAAATGTTTATTTTCTGACAGTAATTGAGTTATCTGTAATAATTAGCTTGAACTTATTTTTTTATGAGTAAATCTTAAGTTATTTTTTATTTATTTTGGCCCCACCCCTACCCCCATCCTCCATTTTACAATGAGAGAACAGAGACTCAGAGAGTTGTTACTTACCTAAGGTTATACAGTAAATGACAGATTTGAAACAAAACATCCTGATTCTAAAACCAGTGCTGTTCCCATTATATCACACTGATAGTTTGTTCTATTTAGTTTAAATCTAAGTAGACTTAACTGAGTCAAGGGGGGAAAAAAATCTCATTAAGCTTATGTAAATCTAACATTCTTGTTTCTTTCGTGTCCAGATATGGTTGGGGGCTAAGACTTTATATGATGCATAGCATTGGAACTGATTCTAATTTCTAATTTTAATTAAGTACTTTCCCCAAAGAGGTAGTGCATCTTCTTATCTAGATGAAAATAGCTCCTTTTGTCCATAATCTTTATCCAAAGGCTAATGATCCAAATACCCCACTTATATTGCTGCCTTTAATTTGTCCTCCTTAAGACTGTCTCCCAGTTGACTGCTGGATTTCATGGTTGGAGGAAGTATAGTTAAACTGTAGTCATTACTCATCACCTGAAACCTAGTTAATGACATGTCACCGCAGGCTAACTCAGACTCCTTTCTGACAACCATGTCCCTCCCTCCCCCTGAGGTAAGCTCAAGTGTGATTGTGCCTTTTATGAATGTCTTTTCTGACCACATCACTGCTTTAGTGATGAACATTCTCTCCCTTTCATGCCATACCTTCTCAGTAGCGATAAAATTACCCGGAAAAAATAAGGTTATAAAACCTTTACTGTAGCCTACCATGCATGCTGATTTTACCACTCCCCTCCCAGTTGCCATCCCACAGGCTAAGCAACCACTCAAGCCTGTTTTAACAAATGTACAGAATAAATTCTATCTTAATGTAGGACTGAAACCTGTCTCTTGATGGAGACACTAAATCCTACATATATAGAAAAATAAATATCCTGAACAAATATGTCAGCTTATTCTAACGTGGGATTGTTGCAGAGGTATAGGTGGATAAATGTGGCTATGGTATTTGACAAGGTCAGAATTCTGCTGTCATTGAGTTTTTGAATTGTGGAAAGATCATCAGAAGAGATTTGTTGGGTCTATTTATGCCAATTCTACTCCTTCATATTACTCTGTGTGAAGCAGTCTGCTTAATTAAGGCATAAACAAAAAGTCCTTTGAAGATGACCTCCAGGTCTAACTCTCAAGCAGATATTACTCCTGAAGAAATGAATGTCATGGCTGGGTTTTATCAGGTAATAGAAAAGACAAGTGACAATGATGGAGAAACTGACATCAGTGACCAGGAGAAAAACACATTTTTATCACTGATCAGCCAAAGAAGGAAGAGTCCTTCATTATGGAACCTTAGAGTAATAATAACTAGCATTTATATAGCTCTTTAAAGTTTGCAAAGTACTTTATAAATATTATCTTATTTTATCTTTACAACAACTCTGAAGCTAGGTACTATTATTATCTCTATCTTACATATGGGGAAACTGAAGCAAAGAGATTAAATGACTTGGCCAAGGTCACACAACTAGTTATTGAGGCTAGATTTGAACTCAGGTCTTCCTGACTCTGGGCTTAATGTTCTGTGCACTATGGCACCATATAGCTGTGCCACTATTAGCATGAGGAAGGCTATGTGAATCCACAGTATTAGTGAACCTCTGAATAGTAACGTGCTTCATAATACTATTTTTTTTGTGGATCCCCTGAAATAAGGAGTTGATACCAATTGAAACAGTGCCTTGATTCAGCAGTCCTACTAGAAGTCATACTCAAGAGTAGTTAAAGACAGAGGGGTCCGTTATATACCAAAATATACATAGCTACAATTCTACATAGTAGAACATATCTACAGAGTAGATACCCATCAATTTGAAAATGACTGAAAAATCTGATCACATATAAATATCATGAAATATTATTGCTCATTGAGATATTATGAATACAGGATCAGAGAGATGTATATGAACTGATGTAGAGTCAAGTAAGCAGAACCAAGAGAATAATGTATGTGCCTGCAGCAACGTAAATGAAAACATCACTAAAGGAAATCGAGCTCTGAGCAAATGGCAAGTTGAAGGCCCTAGAAAACAGATGGTGGAACATGCCTCCTGCCTCATGGCAACAAGTCAGGAGACTGGTAGTGAAGAATATGGGATTAGAATCTCTGTTAGATGTTTGTGCCCCATTGTTCTTTTTCACAAGAGTGGTTTAGTCTGGAATAGAGGAGTGGGGGGGAAATGGCGTAAAGACAAATGACATCAACTTTAAAAGTAGTTTTCAAATGCCATGTACATGAATACCTTTAATAAGTAGAAGACTGTAGTTGAATATAAAGAATGATAACAAGAGTGTATTTAGAAATCTTTTTTTTTTTGTGGGTCTTCAGAAATAAAGTGAACTGTTTACTAAATAGTGTTTTTGCAATTAATTTCATTGATGGTATTGCAAATTTGAGTATTTTTGACCCATCACAATGCTGTTTCTCAGTTCTCCTTCTTGACCTCTCTGCAGGTTTTGATATTGTTGATCACCCTCTTCTCTCTAGGTCTTTGGAACACCGTTTCTCCTAGTTCTCCTCTGACCATTCCTTCTCTTGTCTTCTTTTTTGGATCCTCATCCAGGTCATACCATTTAACCATAAATGTCCCATTTGGTTCTGTCCTGGGCCCTCTCCTCTTCTCCCTCTGTATTACTTCACTTGGTGATCTCATCTGTTCCCAAGCATTTAATTACCATCTCTAAGCTAATAATTCTGAAATCTACCTGTCCTGCTGACTCCCGGTCTCACATCTCCCACTGCTTTTCAGATATCTGAAACTCAGCATGTCAGAAACTGAACTTATTATATTTCCCCTAAACTCTTCCTACCTCCTACCTTCTCTATTACTCTAGAGGGCAACACCATCTTCTCCTTCCCTCAGGCTGACAACTTTGTTGTCATCCTGACTTCTCACTCTCTCTCACCCACCATATCAGTCTGTTGCCAAGGTCTATGATTTCACCTTTGCAGCATCTCTCAGGTACGTTTCCTTCTCTTCTCTTATATACTGCCATTGTTCCAGTGCAGGCCTTCATCCCTCATGCCTGAACTGGGGGGTGTACCCACCTCAAGACCCTCCCCATTCTAGTTTATCCTCTATTCAGCCACCAAAATGATTTCTGAAGGCACAGGCCTGCCCATGTCAAACCCTTAGTCAGGAAACTGAGTGGATCCCTATTGTCTGCAGGATAAACTATAAAATCCTTTGTTTGGTGTTCAAAGCCACTTTAAAACCTACCTGCTCCCCTTCACCACCACCTTTCTGGTCTCCTTACATATTGCTCCCCACAACATGTACTGATACTAATGTCCTTGTGTTTCTCAAACAAGACAGTCCATCTCAGCTCTGGGCATTTTCTGTGACTGTTCCATACCTGGAATGCTCTCCCTTATCTCCACCTACTGGCTTCCCTAGCTTCCTTCAAGTCCCAACTGAAATTCCATTGTCCATAGGATACCTTTCCCAACCCTTCCTTTTGTGCCTTCCCTCTAGTATTTCCTACTTCTCCTGTATATAGATTGTACGTACATATTTATTTGCTTGTTGTCTCCCCCATTAGATTGTAAACTCCTTGAGGACAGGCACTGTCTTTTGCCTTTTTTGTATCCCCAGTGCTTAGCACAATGTCTAGCACATGGTAGCTTTTAAGAAATGTTTATTGACTGACCAGTACTCGGTCTCAGTGTTTTCCCTCCCTTATTTTTTCTGAAGAACTTAATTATACATTCACAGGATCACAGTTTTTTGGAAGAGATCATAGAAGTCATCTACTCCCACTTACATTTTATTGTTAAATTTGCCCATGTAGCTAGCGGAAGAACTGAGACTTGGAACCAGGTCCTCTGACTTTAAACCTGATGTTCTTTCCATTGCACTATGCTGATTTAATTGTTAGCCTAGACTAGGAGTACTTAACCTAGGATCCATGGACTGTATTTCCCCTTTTCTCTCATCCTGGGGTTTGTAAACTTCTTTATCTGTTGTCATTGTTGTAATTTTTCAATACTTTGGTAACTTTCATATAATTGGTTTCCTTTGCAATCTTATGAATTGTGTGCGTTTAAAGACCCCATAAGGAGTCCATAGCTTTCATTTCCAAAGGGCTCCATGACACAATAATGGGTAAGAACTCCTATTCTAGCCTTTCTCTCTTTACTTTTGGTTAACATAGATTTGGTTTATGTAAATTAATATTACACTTAAACTGAAAATTAGCTGCCAAATATCATTATAACTAGCATTTATGTAGCACTTAAAGGTTTACGGAGAGCTATACATAAGCTATTTCATTTGATCCTCACAACTCTTGGATATAGGTGCTGTTTTTTCCCCCATTTTACTAATGAGGAAACTAAACCTAAAAGAGGTTAATTGACCTACACAGGGTCAAGTAGCTCATGACCCTGTAGCTTATAAATTCTGAGGCTAAATTTGAACTAAGGTCTTGACTTGAGGTTCGGTGCTCTATCCATTGTTCCCTGTAGCTGCCTCATAAACTATTATTAGATAACAAGCTAGTGTGTTATTTGTTTTACTTTTTTTAGGACCATTCTGGAGCAGGCATAGTGAGAACAGGATCTCTGCAGCTCAGCCACACGTCCTCAGCTAATTCATCTTTGAGAAGGACGAAACGCAAAGCACCCTCTCCGCCTTCTAAAGTACCTCCAGATCAAAGTTATGAGGCCAGTGATGTGACAGGTAGTGATATGAATTTTTCCATTAGCAATGTTTGCATATTTTGTTTTTTAATTAGCCCATAGAAATCATACCAAAATAACATTTAAGCTAGACCTTTATGTTAAATAATTTTCATATTTATCTCTTAAAATTTGTTCTCTAAAAATGTTTTTTTTTCTTAAACAAGAAAAGTCAAAGTAATAAAACCTGGTGGGAGAAAATATGCAGAGAATTTTTCTATTAAAAATGCATATGGGAACCAGATTATAAATTTACTGTTCATTTCACAAAAGTACTGATATTCTGATATGTGGTAAACTAAAAAGAAATGGAAATTCAAACTTAATTTGAAGGTCATGGAGCTGGCTAATAACATAACTATTCACACACACACTTTTAGATAATAGAATGCCAAGGAATTAATTAGAAAATTTATTTTCTTTGTACATATGATATTTTTGTGATAAAAATTATTTTCTCTTTGTTTTAGCACTGAAATCAGTAGATGCAATTCTAAAAGAAAGTATTCCAGAAGCAAATCCTCCTGAAGTATCATCTGATTCAGGTAGTTTATACCCTATAAACTTGGGGGTTCTTGAAAATAGGAATTATGTGTGATGGGCTAAAGTACATAAAAAGTAAAAGCCATGTAGTAAAAGTAGTGGGGATTATTATGAGAAACTATGTGGCATAATAGATTCGAAGCTAATCTCTGAAAAAGAAAGGACTGGCTTCAAGTCTGAAGAACAAAATTATATAGTTTGGGATTCCTTTTAAAGGCCCATAATGGGAAATGACTAGCTTTTGTAATGATAAAAGCTATATAAAGCACTTTCAGAGCTCTGAGGTATTATTATTATTTGTCATTATTATTAATAGAGCATAAATCTTAACCTCTTAGGGCCCTAGACACCTAAGAATATAAGTTGTAGAGGAGATGCCAGTCTGCATTGGTAGAGGGAGTTTCAATACCTGGGAGTTCCTATGCCAATGAAACCGATTGACCCCCATCAACCTATCCTTAAAGCTGATAGATCTCCTAATTTTGTTATTGGGCTGTTGGGGGGGTTAATTTTTTTTGGTACAGATTTGAGGAAGCTTTGTACCTCTTCCGTATGGGTTTTTTTTTTTGTTGTTTGTGTCTATGTTTGTTTTGGCGAGTTGAGGTTAACTTGCCCAGGGTCACATAGCTAGTAAGTGTCAAGTGTCTGAGGCTGGATTTGAACTCTAGGCCCAGTGCTCTATCCACTACACATCCAGCTGCCCCAGTCATAAGGGGTTTCTTAAACAGTATACTCATCCTTGAACATCTTGTTTTTTACATATGACACAATGGGGTTGGTTAACATTATTCACCCACCCCCTTCTAACTGACACAGGGTGATTTGTAAAGTACTTGGGCTTCCCAAAAAGTAAAGTTATGAAGGTTTGAAGTAATGTTTCTTTATGCCATTTTGGTAGTTGGAAATTCAGAATTTGGTTATCAAATCCATTCATAAAGAACAGGGTTACAACATAAACCTCAGCAAAAAGAAAAGGAACGAAGGAAGAAAAGAAAAATGTTTCCAAAAGAGTGGGTGGTCTTTTTATTCAATAACAATCCAGTAACATAATTTGAAGTTTTATTAACATATCTACAAACCTATTTGATCTATAAATGTTTTCATGAGCAGCAGTTAAACATCCATTAACATCAAGAATAGCAATATATTTACTTGATTTTTAGAGTTACTGATTTGTAGAAAATGAATCTAACACATTGGGAATAAAATGGGGTGGTTCTAGTAGCACGTTTATATCTTAGGGGTAGTGTGAAGATGTGATTTCCCTGGTGTAGGGGCTTCCCTGGAAAGGAACCTTCCTCTTCTAATGCGGACAGGCCTTCTCTGAAATTTAAAGTGTGTGAGAGTTACCTAGAACATTAAAGGTTAGATGACTTGCCCAGAGTCACAGTCAGTATGTGTGAAAGATAGGTAGCAAAGTAGATAGTGCCGCTGGGTCTGGAGTTGGGAAGACTTGCGTCCAAATAAGAGCTCAGACACTTACTAGCAGTGTGACCCTGGCGTCAGTGTCCTCATCTGTATAGTGGATAATATCTAAGGATCAAATGAGGTAATAATTAAGTGCTTAACATAGTTTCTGGCATATAGTAGCATTATAAAAATATTGGCTGTTGTTGTTGATGTTGTTGTTATTAAGGTGGCATTTGAACCCACATCTTCGTAGTTTCAGAGATGGCTTTCTACCCAGCACACAGTGCTGCCTCTGTTATTTAAACATTGTCTCAATGAAAAGATGTGTTTGAGAATAGCACCTTAGACTAATATGGAAATATGTTTTGCGTGACTACACATGTATAAACTATATCAGATCACTTGCCTTCTCAGTGAGGGATGAGGGGAAGGAGAGGGAAAATTTGGAACTCAAAAATTTTTTAAATGAATGTTAAAAATTGTTTTTTTATGTAATTGAAAAAATAAAATATTTTAAAAATAAAAAATAGAATGGCATTATAACAGCTATAGTAATGCTGTAATACATAATCATAAATATGGAAGGAAAATATTGCTATACTTTCAAACATTATTTTTCTTGAATGATATTATTCTATATTTGAAAGCTTTTGCAGGATTTCTGTATTCACTTCCTGTAAAAGAAAAATTATTTTTATCAGTGAATTTGTGAATAATGAAAGCACTGGACTGAGTGTCTGGGGACTAGAATTCTAGCTTTGCTGCTTTGTGGCTTCAGACAAGTCATTTCACTGTTAAGGACTTTACGTTTCTTCTATGTAAAATGTGGGAATTGGACTAGATCAGAGATGTGAAATATACAGCCTGAATGTGACCTACTACAGTCCTGAATACAGGAACCAGATTAAAGTGTAATTGGGAGATATTTAGCAAAATAAAAATACAATTAAATATAGATATTAATATATAGTTTTTTTAAGTTAGTATGTGGACCATGGCATCCTTATGGATGGTTTAGTGGTTCCTGTTTCTGTTTGAGTTTGACACCACAGGATTATCCAATCCTGAGGTGCTTTGGTCATGGAAAGGGCAATGAATTTGATGTCAGAAGAATGATGTTCTAATTCCAGTTCTGCTACTTGCTTACCTCTGTGACCTTGGGCAAGTCACTTAACTAATTTAGGCCTCACTTTCCTCATCTGTCATTCTAAGGGATTGCACCCATTGACCTCTAAGGCCCCTTCCAGTTGTAAACATATGAACCTATACAGTCAAGCTCCTTCTGACTCTAAAATTCTGATCACTGATGCTACTGCTATGTAAAGTAAATAGCAGTTATATGCTTGATGTGCTTTGTTTCTGTCTTTGCCAAACTATCTAGCACTATTCTGTGGACCTAATGGGAGATAATTAAGTATTGTAACATATACTTTAGGGCAGCTGGGTGGCACAGTGGGTAGAGTGCTGGGCCTAGAGTCAACAAGACCCATATTCATCAGTTCAAATCTGGCCTTAAACACTTACTAACTATGTGACCCTGGGCAAGTCACTTAACACTGTTTGCCTCAGTTTCCTCATCTGTAAAGTAAGCTGGAGAAGGAAATGGCAAACCAGTATGTTTGCCAAGAAAACCTCAAATAGGGTCACAAAGAGTCAGATATGACTGAAATGACTGAACAAGAACAACAAAATACACACTTTTAAGACTGGTCATCATGTATTTCATATGGGGAAATTTAAGATTAGCCTGCTGTATTTTTCTCTGTCTCTTTTGTGGAAAAGAATCCCAAAGCTCTTTGCAGATTCTATGCCAGATTCGTGTTCTACAAAGGAGACGTCTTCAAGAAAATAAAATATTGAATACTGTGCTGCGTGCTCATTTCAACCACAAAAATGAAGTGAAAAGAAAAGAAAAAGCATTTGGAGAGGGCATATGCATTATTCTGATTTTAACATTTGCTTGCTCTCACTGACCCCATTCACCTTTTCTTTTGTCCCAATCTCCCCTCATTTTATCTACATGTGTTTGGAATCAATCTTGTTTTAAGTGGCTTCTTAATTTTTATTAACATTTAATCTAAGGGCTCTCACTCATGAACTACTTCCTTAACAGATGCTTCACTTTGCTTTGAGCTACCTGGTCATGAACGGAGTACTGTCCTGATGCTGGCAGATGATGAGCCTTATTCTGATTGTGCCGAAACACCTGAGTTAACCATGACATCACTGAAATGTAGGTGGCGGGAGCTGGTTTCCTTAGGCTGCTTTGCTTAAAATAACATCTATCAAATGCTTCCACTTGCCGACTTTTGTTTCTTTTAAAATTCTTATAAAAGGGCTGTCCCTTATAGAAATGATGCTCCTTGCTTTCATTTGTAATGTTATTCAGGTTTTAGACTTTCTTGATTTTTCTTCCATTCAGACTTGCTTTCAACTTCATAGATGGAGATGGCCGTCTAAGATGAATGAAATTCGTGGATCTGAATTTCTAACTTCCCTTCTGTGCTTAATTTTTGGGCTTACTTTTGTACTTTTTCCTGTTTGATGACATTTGTAACTTTCATTTCTATAGGATATTGTATTCAAGAATTTGCCTTATCTTACTACATCCTTACTAATCCTAGCCCTGAATTTATTCCCCTAGACTTTGACTGCCTGTTGATTTTCTTTTAAGTTAATTACTGGGATGTTTTTGTAACAGATATAAAAAAAAATCACTTTTGCTTAGTTATGCAAATTTTTTATTAAATATTTTCAGTGTTTAAGAATACTACTAAAAATCATGTAAAATGCTTCAGTGAAGTCCCTAGTAAGCAGTTTTTGCATGAATTTATACCTTTAACAAATATATTCTTTGAAAGTATAAAAAGCTTTACGGATGGAATGACATTGATTATAATCATAGAATTTTAAAACATTTTAGAAGCCACCTAGTTCAACATTCTAGCCAATAAAAGAACTCAGGATATTTAATAATATATCTTTTTTTTTTTACTTTTGGTGAGGTAATCAGGGTTAAGTGACTTGCCCAGGGTCTCACAGCTAGTGAGTATCAAGTGTCTAAGGCTGGATTTGAATTCAGGTCCTCCTGACTCCAAGGCCAGAGATTTATCCACTGTGCCACCTACCTGCCCCAAGATATTTAGATTAGAGAAGGGAACATTCAGGGACAGATATGAGAGCTATCTGAGGAACTATCACTTATTAGAGGAATTAGTGACAAAAAGGCAGATTTAAGTCTCTGATGTCAAGAAAAGCTTCCTAGTGAGTAGAACTATCCCCAAAAATAATGTATTTAAGAAATTAATTATTTGAAAGATGACTGTTTCAGGAGGTAGTAGGTTCCCCCTCCCCGGAGGGCGGGGCTTCAGGTATAAGCTAGATGTGTACTAATGTGTTATGTTGTAGAGGGAACTCTTTTTCAAAGGTCAGTTGGACTACAGTCCTAAAATTGTTTCCCAACCTTAAATTCTGTGATTTTTTTTCTGTGACCCCAGCTATTTAGCTTCATTATTCTTGGGGGGTTTTTTTGTGTGTGTGTGTGTTTTGTTTTTGTATGTAGGTCTGAAATTTGGTCTACAATATTTATTAAACAACCAACCTTGATATTTTCAGATCTGTGGAAATTTGTATTGGCCAAATTGCAAATGTTCTTTTTGAACAAAGGGAATATAATGGAACTGATTTTTTTTAAGTCATCACAATTTGAAAAAATACTTTTCAAAATTGCCTTACAAACCATGAAAGTGCTATATAAATGTCAGCTAGTATTATCATTAGAACAAGAATGGTTCTTGACTTCAAAAAATACTTAAATCATCTCAGGGTACATCTCCAGTTAGTGAAGAAAAATTTAACCCCCTGATAATAATTTGAATCAGAGGTTTTTTAATCTCTCAGATCTTCATAATTTAATCCACTGAGCCTAGTTCTCCTAGTGAGTGCATTTTGCCTAGAAGTAAGGTTGCTTCATCAGAAATCTGGGTTATCAGGATTGGACATTAAAATTTTTCACAAATGATAACTTCAGCAGCTTGAAAAAGTTGATTTATTTTCTAAACCACCTTTAGAGTGTAGAAGAGTCTGATTGTTAGCATGCCCTCAGTAATATCGTAGGTCAAATTAGGACAATAAGTCAAAGAACATTTATTAAGCATTTGTGTGCTGTTCTAAGAACTCAGGCTATAAATGCAAAGAATCAATATTTATTACTGTCAAGTAGCTTACATTGTAAGGGGGAGTAGATAATTACGTAACTAGACAGATAGATAGTCTGAGTGTATAACTATATACAGAATAAATATGTTGAGAATAAATACAAGGTAATTTGGAAGGGAAGGCTCTTGCAGTTGACTAGGAGAGTCAGGAGAGGCTTCATGTAGAAAGTTATATTCGAACATTTTCTTGAAGGAATTGAAAGATTCTGTGAGGCAGGTGAGGAAGAAGTGCTTTTCAAGCATGGTCAATGGCCAGTGGAAAGGCATGTACAGAGACGTGGAACTGTATGGTAAGAAGATCTCAGGAAATCTCAGGATCTCAGTATTGTACAGTGAAGCTGGAAAAATAGATTAGTGTGCAAGGTTGTGAAGGGATCCAAAAGCTAAACAGATAAGTTTCTATTTTTTCCTAGAGGCAAGAGGGGGCCACTGGAGGTTGAAGAGGAGTGGGATGTTCAGATCTTAGCTTAAGGAAAATCGCTTTGGCAGCTATGTATTGAATGGACTTGAGTAGAGAGAGACAAGTCAGGAAAACCAAATAGCAAGCTGTTACAATAATCTGGGCCCAAGTGGATGAGGGCCTTAATTAAGGTAGTAGTTATGTGAGTAGAGAGAAGGGGTTGGATACCAGAGATGTGGAGCTAGAGATGGAAGTTGATTATCAAAGATAATTCAGAGATTCCACACCTGGGAGACTGGAAGAATGGAAATGGAGAAGTTTGAAAGAGAAAAACACTTTTACAGTACTTGCTACATCAATCAGTTGAGCATTTGTTGAGCATCTATTGTGCTAAGTATTTGGAATATGAAGACAAAAGTGAAACAGTCCATGCATTCGGGAAGCTTGTCAGAGAAGACAACATGTACATATGTGAGTATAGATAAAGTAAGTTGGATGGGGGAAGAGTAACAACAGGGATTAGAATCAAGAAATGGCTCCTGTAGGTTGTTGTATTCTAGCTAAGCTTTGAAGAGAGGCTAGGGATTTTAGGAGAGACAGGAGTGCATTCTAGGCAAGGGAGATGGCCAGACTGGACATGAGATTTGTGCGTGAAGAACACCAAAAAGACCAGTTTCTCTAGACTATAGAGTACATGAATTAGTGCAAATAAGCATTTTATTTTGTTTATTTATTTTTTATGATGGTGACTTCATGTCTTCTGGTAAAACTGTACTCTGATATCTTACCTTGCTGAGGAAGAGACTCTAGGTTATCAAAGGCAATGGTAACACAGCTCAAGCCCTGCCCTGTCCTAGGAAGCTGAAAGTCTATGATGTGGTATCAGACTAGTCTTGATTATAGATGGTGTGCCTGGCTCCTGACTGCAGAGTGATGGATTTTTATAGCCACAGCATTCCTCAATCTGCTACTTTGTTAATGTTTTTTCAAAATACTTACCATTTTATATTAAAATGTCATTTAGCAAAAAGGAAACAGGTATGTTTTTGAAAGCCTCACTTGAACTCAATTTTTGTTGTCTTTGAGTGCTTTTCCTTCCCAACCCCTCTTAATTCTAGTGCCTTCCCTCCGTTAACTACTCCCTATGTATCCTGTATATAGCTTGCTTTGTATATATTTGTTTGTATGTTGTCTCCCCCATTAGAGTATAAGCTCCTTGAGGGCAGGGACTATTTTTTGCCTTTTTTGTATCCCCAGCACTTAATAAATGTTTATTGATTGATTGAACCTGAATAGTATTATCTTATGAAAAATACAATAATAAACTTTTGTCCCATATATTTTTATATGTGAAAAGCTTAACTATTTCAGCTTTAAAATTCAGGCTTAATCTATAGCTAGTTTCCTGTGCTGTATGTGAAAGAATAAATGAGGAAAATCTTTTTTTAATAATATTGACAGCTGATATACTTTGTAGTTCAAAAGTGCTTACATAGTACATGCATTTCATTTTATTATAAAAGTGATCCTGTAAAGCAGGTAATGCAAATATCACCAGGCCTATATTACTGATGAGGAAGCAGCTTTAAAGGATTTTATGCAAACATACTCAATCTTTGATTGGATTTTTCGGTTGTATTGTTTTCCATCACACCGAATCATAGACTCACTCACCTTCATATTGTTATTTCTTGTTCTGTTACTTCCTCCTTCCCTTCTCCTCCTCCACTACCCCTAGGAAAACTGTAGTCAAATCATCACTACCATTGCCTTTGGATAAGGTGTATTAATGTACCCACCCTATCATTCTACAAACCAACTTTGTGACTCCTTTCCCTATCCACCACTCCCCAGTACTTGGCATGTGGTTAGTTTTTAATAAATGCTTTTCATTCACTCATTTATTTAGATCTGTAGTATCATGAAATTAAAATTTTAATAGTCAACTCTTTGTTTTCTAACGTAGGAGATCAATATCAGATTCAACAGAAAAGTCCAACTTCGCTTCAGCTTTCCACTTTCACCTCTTTTCCCAATTAGTTTTAACAGAGTTGTAAAGACCCAGCTTTTCCTGTGTCCTTTTGGCTTACCTGTCACCAGTGGAGATGCTGAGGTGCAACAAAGAAAGGAAAAGGAACAGAGAGAAGAAGAAGGAAAATTAAGCTTATTCACTTTATGCTAGGAAGAATTAAGAATTGACTGTCTTAGTCTTTGGCATTAGCTTAAGTCGTCATACGAATTTGCATGTATTCAGAATGTTCTTAATAAATGTATAAATTATTTGATTCTCTAAAATAAATTACTTAAATATTAAGGAATATTCTTACTATCTTGTTTCAGGTATTAAATTTACCCAGTTTTGATATTTCAAGGATATAATTTAATTGAACGTACTTCAAAATTTAATTTTATGGGATTAAGTTTTGTTTTTAAAAATAAAATGTTGCTTAAAAATTTTTAAAGATGTATAATTAGTTCTTTGAAGCGTGTTATTTATATTATGAAAAGTATTTGTTTTAAATAGTTTCTTAACTGTTAAAAAACCGATGGTCTTTTCAGTCTTCCTATTCTGACTTCTGTAGCTTTTGACACTGGTAACTACTTTTCTTCTTCAATTATTTTTCATCACTTATTGTCCACGATACTGTTCTCATTCCCCTATCTTGAATGTTCGTTCTTTCTCTCCTTGCTGGATCATCATTCATCATATGCTTCCTTAGTATTGGGGACCCCTAGGGATTTGGACCTGGGTCTTCTCTTCCCTAACTTTCCTCCAGTGATCTCATCTGTTCCCGTGAATTCAAGTATGTGCTCTGTCAAATGACTTCAGTGTTCAGCCTTAACCTCTCTCCCAAATGTCAATCCTACATTCTTAGCTACTTCTACATGGCATATAAAATTTCCTATACAAAACATTATTTTTAACCTAAAACCCACTCTTTCTGCCATTTTACCAAACTTTATTCTTTCTTTTGAAGGCCTCACCACCCACACAGCCACTCAGTTTCATAATCTCATAGTTATCCTCCACTCTTCTCTCTTATTTATCCCCATAGTATTGATTCTACCTCCACAACATCTTTTGCATCCTTACTCTTCTCCCTACTGACATGTTGTAGCCTCTTAACTGGATTCCTTTCTTCCTGTCTGTTCGAATCTCTAATCTGTTCCTCACACAACAGCCAAACTAATTTTCCTTAAGTCTGACCATGTCACTTTCCTTGTTAAAAACTTTCAATCACTTCTTCATTCCCTCCAGAATAATATACGAACTCCTCAGCCTATCATCTAAGGCCTTTCTTTACCTGCTGCTAGCTACCTTTCCAGCATTATTTCCTATACCTCTCTTACCCCCTCTACAACCCAATCAAACTAGGGTCCATCTTTTACTTCTCTTGTCACTGGCTTTCCTACATGCCTTGAATACATTCTTTCCTCATCACTGTCTCTCAGAATCCTAGCTTTTTTTGAAGGATAACTTAGGTGTTACTTCCTCTAGTCTAACCAGTCTGTGCTGTCTCTCTCTTCCTCTGCAAATTGGATTGTATTACACTTACTTTTCTGTATGTTGTATTATCAACTAACCTTAAGTAGAATATAAGTACCTTGGGGGCAGGAACTACTGTTTTCTTTGTTTTTCTGATGGCCTAGCATAGAGATTTGCATATAGAATAGATGCTTCATAAGTGATGGTGGGGGGCTAGTTATTGAGTCAGATTTATAAAAAGCCTAATGAAGCTTATTTTTTAAAAAATTACATTCTCAGCATAATTATGTAGGTTAAATGTTTTACTAGTTATGACCATATTGTTGCAGCTGGAATTAGCTCTGAGTACAGCCTTGAAGAAATAGATGAAAAAGAAGAATTGAATGTTCTCCATAAGGAAGAAAGTGAAAGTGTTTCTTCAAAGTCACAAAAAAATTCTTTTATATCTATGGATGTAACAAAGAATGAAAAAGAAGATACTACATCAGAACTTGGCATTGTTACTAGAGAGTGCCCAGAAAGCTCTAAGGAAGAAAAACAAGAAAATAGAAACACAGATGGAAAGTAAGTAACCTAGATACTGCAAATGTTGTTGGTGGTTTATTTTATGGATACCAGGCTTCTGAAATCTAGATTCAATATTTAAAATACAAATATCGTCCAAATAGCCAGCTTACTGGTTTAAAACTTTTATCATTCTGATGAAAATATTTATTAAAAGCCTCTAAATGATGGGGTACTCTGGTGGGAAAGGTACAAACCAGAACCAGAATCTAAAGCACTTGCCATCTTGGCGCTTTATAGTTTAAAATGTGACTGTAATTTGCATCTGGGCTGCTGGGTAGCACAGTGAATAGAGTGCTGGGCCTGGAGTCAGGAATACTCATCTTCCTGGGTTCAGATACATTCTCAGATATTTACTAGCTGTATGAGTCTGGGCAAGTCACTTAACCTTGTTTGCTTCAGTTTCCTCATCTACAAAATGAATTAGAGAAGGAAATGGCAAACCACTCCAATATCTTTGCCAAAAAAAACCCCTCAAAACTAATTGGGGTCACAAACAGTCGGACATGACTGAAAAATGGCTGAAGGACTGAAGTTGCTTCTGACTCTTGAGAGGTGCTTGGTGATCATCTATCCATTTTGTCAAAATGAAATTCTCTGTTTGAATATCTCAAGGCATTCCGGTATTAAAGGCCAGCAGAGCTTAGTGATAGAGATATTGTGACCAGGCAAGCCATTAAATTACAAAAACTTTCTCAAAAGGAGAATTTAAGCTCTTGTAGCACCTCCTTCTTAAGTAAAGGAATTAGTAGTAGCAATACATTCCCCTTTGCCTTAGCATACAAACTATGGTGTGAAAATGTTCCTAGTGCCTTGTCAGTAAAGTGCAATGCAAAACAAATTCTGTGCCAATTTAGGAGGGTTATTATAACCTGTTTTAGGATTTCTTCCTCTGGACAAAACTGTTCTGTGAGAGAACAAACAGAACCAAAGACTTGGACTTTTTGAGCTGGAAGGAAACTTAAAAGATCCATGAAGACAATTCATTTCCCATAATATGTGCCTGACCTTGCCAGATTCAAGTTTGATTCTTTCAGTCTCTCCCCCTTCAGTTTAACTGAGTTGGAAAATTGTCCAGTATACTAAGCTCTTTACTTCCTGATCTCTATTGGTACTTGCATCTGAAATATAATGTTTCATAGCAGCATTTCCTCCCAGTTGTATTTTGTTTTATCAAGCTATTACATTTCCAGTATTTGGCAGAAACAGATGATTATTTTAGTCCATCTGTCTTCAGTATACATTGCCAATTTTCTTGTTCTTTGGGAGTCTGTGTGCACGTGCACTTGGGAGCATGTTATTGATATCAGCATACAATATATATTACTATATTTTACAGAAAACTACAGAATGGTACAAGTAGTAAAGACGCAGTAACCAAAAATGGAAGAAACTCCAAAATACTGGACCAAAATAAGAATAATGGTGAGTTATTCCAACTAATTCTTATGTCAAATAGTGTTTTAATCCTAAAAAGTATCTAAAGTAGCTATTTTGTCTACTGGTTTATAATCAGTCACAATAAGAAACATTCAATTGTCTATGCTGCTCTTAAATATCATCTCTATTTTCATTGTCATTATGCTAATATAAACTTTTTATTGCTTCCTACTATTATTACTGTAGCAATCTTTTAACTGGCCTTCTCAAATCTAGTCTCTGCTCACTCCAGTCTATCTCACTCACTCCATTTGACCTCCATATCCTTGCCAAATAAATACTTCTAAAAGAGTCCTTTTGTCATGTCTCATCACTCCCTTGCTCAGAAGTCATCGGTGGCTCCCATTTCTTATTTCATTATGTCTAAATTCCTCCAGTTGGCAATTAGACTGTGAGCTCCTTGTGAACAGGGATTGTTTTTGTTTTGTTTTGTTGGCTTTCTTTATATCACCTATGCTTATGCTTATTAAATGCTTTGTGACATGATTTCAAACTCTTTTATAATCTGCCTTTGCTCATACTTAGCCCTTACATGGTATCTACTTCAAAGCTCAGTTTTAAATTCTGTTTCCTCAATGAAACTTCATGTATTTCCTATGATCTCTGTATTGTTTCAGGTATTTTACCGCTGTTACTTCAATTTGATTGTAATCATCATCTTGATGGTAGAGGTCGTCTGTCTTCTGAATGACCTATCACATGTAACAGTGCTGGGCATTTGGTGGGTGCTCAGTCAATACATATTGATACTGACTGGTTTTCAAAAAAGAGATTCCTTATAAATACAATAATTATTGTAAGATATTCCTCCTGGTGTTCTAAATTACTTCAACTCTTCCTAGAGCCATGATTTTGTCCCTGTGGCTAGTACTTTGACTGATGCAGATCAAATCCCCCATGTCTTAGTATACATATTTTATGAGCTGATTTGACCAAAATATCAATTACGTAGTAGCCAACAAATGGTGATGTGTCTCTGAAAATGTAACCAGACTGGTTATCCAAATATAGGCTTATATTCTAGTGCCAAGCTCAAACTTAAAACCTGTAGAATCTACTAGGATTAGTTCTCCATTGGCATAACTTTGAAAAATCTACCTTTGTGCCACAATTAAGACAGTGAAGTTGAACTTTAGAAATAGTTTCTGAGTTAACAAGGGGAAAGGAAACTTACATATTCTTGTAATCCAGATTGCTTTGTTAAGCTATGATAGCTGAATCAAGCTTATTGGGAAAAGAATATAGTCATCTATCAACTATTGAGATTAATGGAGAAGGTTACGAATCATTAAAAACAGCAAAGAGTGATGCATGTAGGTTTGGTTTTAGGTATGCATAAGACGTGTTTGACCTGTTAATTACAGAGAAACTGCCTGAATACCTGATTCAGGAACTGAAATAATAATTTGCAGTTTCCTTGTCCTATTTTTTTTTCTGCTTCAACATAATCCATAATGCAAGTAGATCCATCTACCCACTTCTCCCTTTTCCTTCTATTTTTCTGACATCTCTGATTTCTCTTAGAAGATCAACAAGCATTTATTAAAACACCTACTTTTTGTCAGGCACTGTGCAATGTGTATGTGTGTTTATGTGTGTATACAACCTTAAGTACTTACTAACTGTGTGACCCTAGACAAGTGACAATATGTGTAAAGCATTCATCACAGTGCCTTGCAAATAGGCACTTAATATATCCTTTCTTCCTTCCTAAGTCACCTGGAGAACAGGAAAAGGGCACAGAACAGAGCTTTGAGATGTGTCCGTGGTTAGGAAGCATAATATAGATAGCCCAACAAAAAAATCCTGAGGGGTCAAAAGGGAGGAGGAGAAACAGAAAGTATCACAAAAACCCTGAGAGATGAGTACTAAGTAGAGAATATGGTGAACAGTGTCAAGTGCTTTGAGGTCAAGAAAAATGAGGAATGAGAAGAGACCATTATATTTGCCAAAAACAAAAGCATTAATAACTTTCTGATATTGAGCCGTTTCTCAGTGCCAAGACTTTATTTTCCAAATCTTCAATAACAGTGGCTGTTGGCAGCTAGATGGCACCGTGGATAGAGTGTTGGGCCCAAAGTCAAGAATAAGTAGTTCAAATCTGGCTTCAGACACTCACTAGCTGTGTGACCCAGGGCAAGTGACTTATCCTCTTTGTCTCAGTTTCTTCATCTGTAAAATGGGGATAATAATAACACCTATGTCCTAGGGCTGCTATGATGATCAACTGAGATAGTTATAAAGTGCATAGCATAGTGCTTATCTCATAGTAAGCATTTTATAAATGTTAACTGTTGATGATGGTGGTCATGATGATGATGATGATGATGATGGAGGTGGCGGTAGCATGCACAGAAAGGTTCCAGTCAGGAGCTGGTGTAGAGACAAGACTGATGGTCTAGGGGCAGAGTGGGATGTGTGGTTCCATTTCCCTTCCCAATAGTGACAGTTAGTGAGCAGTTGGTGTTGGTGGTAGCAAAGAAAGTGAGCCCTTTCTCAATATTAATTACTTGGCTTGCTAATGACTCCAGAGCCTGGGCTGGAAGCAACGCCAGTAGTCTTGGGGTGGAGGGTTCTGCTATTCCCAAGGCTTTAGGTTTCTTTGGCTACCTACATTAGAACCTGAGGGAAGAGGGGTAGTGCAGATGGGAGTGGTGGTTTGACTTGTCCTGCATGTGCTGCCTCCTATTTGTTCCTTGGGGTCCCCAACTGCTTAATTAAATGGACTTGCTTGCCTGCCTCTAGGTGGCAGTTCATTGGCATTTGATAAATATAGCTGGAGTGATGTTTCACTGGCTGACCACTATTGGCTACATATGTGTGAAAATAAAATTGAAAATTGAATGTATAATAAAAGCAATGGCAAGTATTTTACCAATAGAAAACTATTAAAACTGTTTATGCCTGGTACTTTTAAGTCATGAGTCTTACAGATTGAAACGACTTTGGAGATCACCTAGTCACACCCCTTTCACTTAAAGGTGGGGAAAATGGGATTCTGGAGAGTTCAGTTCAGGGATAGGGAACCTGTGGCCACAAGGCCACGTGTGGCCTTCTAGGTCCTTGGGTGCAACCTTTTGACTGAATCTAAGTTTTACAGAACAAATCCTTTTATTAAGGGAATTTGTTCTGTGAAGTTTGGATTCAGTCAAAAGGCTGAACTTGAGGACCTAGAGGGCCATATGTGGCCTTGACACCTCATGTTTCCCACCCCTAGTTTAGTTACTTGTCCAAAGTCATGTGAGAGGTGGTAATAGAAGAGCACAGGTTTAACTCTTGACTCTAAATATGGGATTCTTTCCACCACAGCACACTGGTTTATCCCACATCCTTTCGGAAGTCACATGTCAAAAGCTAGTTACCACTTTTCAAAATCAAAATTAATCTAGCTATATTTACTAAGTTATTTCAGGATTGTGACAGTTTTGTTATATATGACATAATTGTAAGAGTCCCAGTACATGCATAAAATCTATACTTTGAAATTGCCTTCAATTATGTCTGCATAAATTGACTAGGTATTGTAATGAGACATTTTCAAATCTTTTTTTAAAAAAACCAATACATAACTGTTATCTTTAAACTAGTCAGTTATTCATTCTTTCCTCTCATCTTCCCTCGGCTCCCTCAGCTGCAACACACACACTCATAATCACTTCATTCTCATGAAATCATTATCATTTAATCAAATGTTCTGAATCTCACTAGCTAGGGACTAATAGAGGAATACAAAGCCAGCTTCTCCCTTTACTGGTTAGTCATAGAAGATGACTTAGCTATTAGCTTCTTTTAAATTCATTTGAATTTTATGAGTTATGCTAAGTCAGAGAAAGCCCATGTTTCTTTCAGGTTGACAGGTTATGGTTAAGACAAAAGAAATCTTTGTCTGACAGTAGTTCGAAAATGGTGTCTTGTCCAAGGCTATTGATGTTAATAATGGAGGTACAGATGTACCTTCCAAAGAAATCATGATGAACAAAAAAAGTGATGAAATAGATAAATCGGTGATTAATTATTCCTTTAAAAAAGAGTCTTTGCCTTGAAAAAGTGTTTACCAGTCAAGTTAAAAGTTGGATCTGAATTATTTTTTTTTCCATATGCTTTTGAGTTGAAAATTTTTTCTCCCTTTTTCTCCCCCCCCCAGACGGCATACAATCTGACATAGGCTTTACATTTACGTACCCATTAAATATATTTTCACATTAGTGAAGTTGTAAGTAAAAATTAAAAACAATAGGAGGAACCATCAGAAAGATGAAACAAAACTCAACTGAAGGTAAAAATAAGTGAAAGCGATTCGACTTCCATAGTTCTTTCTTTGGATGTGGACAGCATTTTCCATCCCGAGGCCTCTGGAGATGTCTTAGATCCTCATAATGGTGAGCAGGGTTCAGTTTAACATTCTTAGTCATTGCATAACGTGGCTGCTATTGTATACAAAGTCCTCTTGGTTCTGCTCACTTCACTCAGCATCAGACCATATAAGTCTTCCCAGGTTTTTCTGAAGTCAGCCTGTTCATCATTTCTTATAGAAAATAGTATTCCGTTACATTCATATACCACAACTTGCTCGGCCATTCCCCAATTGATGGGCATCCTCTCAATTTCCAATTCTTTGCCACCACAAAAAGAGCTGCTATGAATATTTTTGTACGTGTGGGTCCTTTTCCCATTTGTTTGATCTCTTTGGGATATAGCCTTAGAAGTGCTATTGCTGGATCAAAGGGTATGCACATTTTTGTAGCCCTGGAACTGAATTTTTTAAATGTTGATAAACTTTCTTTCAGAACTCATACAGTTTATTAAGTGGGATATAGATCTACTCTTCATTCTCTAAGCATGACAAACTTGAAAAAGCAAGAGGAATTTGATTGTTATTTCTTGAGGGTTTTGGTTTATGTTCATTTCATATCTTTTTAAAAATATATTTTTATTTACTTCATTAAGTATTTCTCAATTACATGTAAAATTTTTTAACATTCATTTTTTAAAATTTTAAGTTCCAAATTTTCTTCCTCCACCATGCCCCTACCCCACCCATCGAGAAGACAAGCAATATTATCTCCATTATACATGTGAAATCATGCAAACATATTTCTGTATTAGCTATGTTGCAAAAGAAAATACATACACAAAAAGACAAAAAAAAAGTTTAAAAAGTATGCTTCAATTTGAATTTAGAGTTCATCAGTTCTCTCTCTGAAGATAGATAGGATTTTTCCTTATGGGTTCTTTGGAAGTGTCTTGGGTCATTGTCTAGATCAGAGGAGCTAAGTCTTTTACAGTTGATTTTCCTTATAATATTGCTGTGACTATACACAGTGTTCTGGTTCTGCTCACTTTACTCTTATTCAGTTTGCATAAGTCTTCCCAAGTTTTTCTGAAACCAAATTGCTTGATATTTCTTATAGCATAATAGTATTCCATCACAATCATATACCACAACTTGTTTGGTCATTTCACAATTGATGGACATCTCATCAGATTCCAATTTTTTACTATCACAAAAACTGCCATAAATAGATCATTTTCCCTTTTCTTTATCTCTTTGAGATACAGGGGCATACATCGTTTCACAGCCCTTTAGTTTTAGTTCTAAATTGATCTTTAGAATGGGTGAACCAATTCACAGTTCTACTAACAGTGCATTAGCATTCCAATTTTTCCATGTTCCTTCAACATTTGTCATTTTCCATTTCTGTTGTGTTAGCCAATCTGATAGGTGTGAGGTGGTATCTCAGAGTTGTTTTAATTTGCGTTTCTCTACTCAGGGCAGGTAAATGGCACAGTGGCTAGAGTGCCAGCCCTGGAATCAGAAGTACCTGAGTTCAAATCTGGCCTCAGACACTTACTGGCTGTGTGACCCTGGGCAAGTCACTTAACCCAGTTTGCCTCAGTTTCCTCATGTACAAAATGATCTGGAGAAGGAAATGGTAAATTACTCCAGTATTTTATGCCAAGAAAACCCCAAATGGGGTCACAAAGAGTTAGACATGACTGAAAAATGACTGAACAACAGTCAATAGTGACTTAGAACATTCTTCCATGTGACTATTGATAGCTTTGATTTCTTCTTCTGAAAACTGCTTGTTCATATCCTTTGGCAGTTTATCAATTTGGGAATAACTCCTGTTTTTATAAATTTGGCTCAGTTTTCTATGTATATGAGAATGAGGCCTTTATCAGAGAAATTTGCTGTAAAATTTTTTCTACCAATTTCTTTCCTTCTAATTTTGGTTACATTTGTTTTGTTTATGCGAAACCTTTTTAATTTCATGTAATCAGGATTATCCATTTTACTTCCCATTACCCTGTCAATATCTTGTTTGGTCCTAAATTTTTCCCTTATCCACAGATCTGACAGGTACATTTTTCCATATTCCATACTTATGATAGCACCCTTTATATATAAATCATGTATCCATTTTTACTTTATCTGGTGTGAGATGTCAGTCTATGCCTAGTTTCTTCCAAATCGCTTTCCAGTTTTCCTAGCATTTTTTGTGAGTTCTTACCCTAAAAGAACTCACCTCAAAAGCTTGCATCTTTGGGTTTATCAAAGAGTAGGTTACTATACTTATTTACTACGTGTATTATGTATCTATACCACTGATCTATTCCAGTGATCCACCACTTTATTCCTCAGCCAATACCAGATTGTTTTCATGATTGCTGGTTGTAATATAATTTGAAATCTGATACTGCTAGGCTGCCTTTTCTTCACTTTTTTTTTCCGTTGATTCCCTTGGTATTCTTGATCTCTTGTCCTTCCAGATGAATTTTGTTATTATTTTTTCTAGCTCTATAATTCTTTGGAAGTTTGAATGGTATGGCACTGAATAAGTAAATTAACTTAGGTAGGATTTTTATTATGTTGATTCAGCCTACCCATGAGTAATTAGTATTTTTCCAGTTGTTTAGATCTGTCTTTATTTGTGTGAAAAGTCTTTTATAATTGTGTTTATATAGTCCTTGGGTTTGTCTCATCCGTTTATTTCATCTCTTTCACAGTATCTAACAGTGTTATATTCTTTGTAGGTGACAGTAAATGCTCATTAATAAAAGAAGGGAGATTAAAGCAGCAAAGAACATGTACTGCTATATGCTTTTTGGAAATGCTTCCTTTGAAAGTGATCCGATGCGATCTTTTTAAAAATTAAATAAACTCATATTAAATATTAGTATTTTTTAAAAATTATATGTAACATAGGAACTGTGTTTATAGATAGCAATGTAAGAAAAAATATGTAGAGCTCAGGCTTATGGTGTATTAGTCATTTGGGGTAGGAACTTTCTTTTTCTTTTTGTATTTAACAATTGGTTACAAATTATTTTGTTTTGTTTTTCTCAAAGATCAAAATGATATGATGCTCCTTCCAGTGGACTCGAATGAGAAAGTAAAAAATGGAGTGAGGATGGTAGAAATCAGTGTAGCTGATGTTACTGAAAATAACAAGCTTGAAACTGACAGGCCATCAGATTCTCAAGCATATAAAAATGACGTTGCTGTAGGTAACAAGGAAAATCCTCAAGTACTTTTACCAATTCAAGATCAGAAGCCGAGTCAATCCAACTTAGAAAAGGTAAAAACTCAAGATGCAGCAATTCAGACAACTCAGTCTCTTAACAATTTGGACAATAATATGTTAAGTGAAATAGTTGCTCACCTGGATCATAATTTGCCAAACTTCAGAGGCAATGAAAACATACAGCTTTCAAATAACAATAAATCATCTCAAAAGTCATCTTTTAAATCACAGGGTTCTATAGATCTCTCAAGAGAACTCAAGAACCAGAGACCAATAAATGGGCAGGAAGACATACCCAACCTTAAAGATGTAAGTCCTACACATGGCAATGATGATCTGTTTGTTCCAGTAGATGGGACTGATAAAACTCTAACTGATTCCTGTATAAAGAATTATCCCCTTTATAAACCTGACTACAAAACCAAACCAAAGCCTTCTAATGAGATTACGAGAGACTACATACCCAAAATTGGAATGACGACTTACAAAATAGTACCTCCCAAATCCCTGGACACACTGAAGGATTGGGAGTCAGAAAGTATTCGGTACAATAAGAATGATCAGGAGATACATTCTCCAGAAAATTACCAGCCACGTGAACAGCTGAAGGAATCTGCTATCCAAACAGATGATCTTATTTCTGAAGGTCCAAGGGAAACACAGACTGACATGAAATATGAACCCAAATTAGGAATGGCGCATCATATCCAAAATGAAATAAGCTTCACCGATGGGACTGTATCTTCTACAAAACCAGCCTCCATAGTAAATAAAGACAATGGCGCAACTCCATTGGTGCTGAATTTAGAACACCTAAACAGTATTATGGAACCAAAAGGAAGATCTAAGGTGATAAGTCCCCAGACGAAACCTAGTTCTTTTTTCTTACAGATGCAGAAAAGGGCCTCAGGTCATTATGTTACATCTGCAGCTGCCAAAAGTGTCAATGCTGCTACAAGTTCTGTTCAAAATGAACTGAAGCATAAAGAGATTGAAAAAAAGTTATCATCTCCCCAAGAGGAAATGCTTTCTCCTTTAAATAAGACAATTAACTTCTCTTCTGAATTACCTGACAAACAAACTGATCATGACATCAGTCAGAGACACATAGAAATCCCGACTTCTACCAAACCCCCGAAACCGGTGAATGTTCCCTCTACTCAGCCAGCAACGTTCAGCCTAAAAGCCTTAAGGACTTTTGGTGCACCACGGCCATACACAACTGCTACTCCTTCTCCTTTTGCACTTGCTGTAGTCAAAAGATCACAGTCTTTCAGTAAAACATATACTGTCCCGAGGCAATCATCCAAAGAGGGTCCATCTCCTGGACCACCTTCATCAGCTTCCAAAGAGGCGGAGGAAAAAAATAATCCATTAGATAAGTTACTGGGAGTTCTACAGTCTGACAAGGTAAATGTTATTTTTCTCTCATTTTAAAAATTTGTTTTGGTTTTTAAACTTTTATTTATGTGTTTTGTTTTTAATTTTACAAACATAGTTTATCTTCCACTCTGTAGGAGTCATCATGTAACAAAGTTAAACAGTTACATAAAACTAATAATACAGTGACCTCAATTGAAAGTACATGCAACTCTCCATATATGTAGCACTACCCCCAATATACCTCTCTACTTTTTTTGATTAACAAAAATCTTGGGGCAGCTAAGTGGCACAGTGGATAAAGCACCGGCCCTGAAGTCAGGAGGACCTGAGTTCAAATCCAGCCTCAGATCAAACACTTGATACTTACTAACTGTGTGACCCTGGGCAAGTCACTTAACCCCAATTGCCTAAAAAAAAAACCAAAACCTTTTTTTCTTCCCTTCCACTACCTACCCAATTGGAAAAAAAATAAAATAAAAACAAATTTCTTGCAGCAAGCATACAGTTAAGTGTAACAAATTCCCTTAATGTCTGTATGTATATTTGTACATGTATATTTACATGCATATATACATACATATATGCATGCTGTGTATACACGTGTCTTCTGAATCATAAATCCACTACTTCTCTGTCAAGGATAGTACATTTTATCATCTTGTAACAAAATTAAACAATTACATAAGACCAATGATAAAGTGACCACATCTGAAAGTGCATGCCACACTCTTCATCTGAGTGTTACGTTTACTTCCCACACATACGTCACACGTGCATACACACACTCCTTTTTTTAGGTAAAAAAAATCTATTTTTTTCCTCTTTTCACTCCCCACCCAGTTGGAAATAAAATAAAACAAAAACAAATTCCTTGTAACAATTATGCATGAACAAAACAAATCTCTTCAATGTCTGTATACAAATATGTGTATATATTCATATATGTTTCTCATTCTGTAATCTCAGCCTGTCAAGAATAGTGTGTTTCATCATCTTGTAACAATATTAAATTATTACATAAAACTAATGATAGTGATCTCATCTGAAAGTTCATGCAACACTGCACATCTGTGGTATCCTCCTCTAACCTCTCTATTTTTTAATTAACAGAAATCTATTTCATGCATGTATGTGTGTGACATCTATGTATTATGTTTGTTTATGCATGAGTGTATACACACACACATATAATATGCTTCATCATCAGTATTCTGGAGTAATAATTGGTCCTTATGTTGTTTTATTATTCACTATCCAATCTGTATAAGACATTAACTTAGAATTGACGAGTATCCTGGAATATATTTGTATGACATAAGCTATGCCAAACAAATGGCTGAGTTAAAAACAAACAAGCAATAGCCGATAACAAAAAAAACCTTTTGAACTGATTCACATTATTTACACAGGTTTAAAGACTACTTCCTACTTGTATTTCCTAAATTCTTCTCACAAGTGATTGATTAAATGGGCAAAAGATATTCCCATTGTCCTGATAGAGAACCCATTATTAGCAAGTGCTTTGAGTATGGAAACGTCATGTTCTTTCTGTTGACAAAAACATATATCAGATATAAGTTCATAGAAAAAGATCTGAGGAAAACTGTCTTTTGTAATAAAAGTATTAACATGTCTTCTTCTTCTTCATTTCCTAATTATTAGATTTCCTTGTTTGTGTGTTTCCTAATTTAACGCAGTCTCTAGATGTGGCCCTGATTAATTTAGAAGGCAGTTTTGGGCAAGTGGCTGCCATATTCCCCTTTACATTCTTAATTCCTATTTCCTATTTATTGTTACCTTAACATTGGTTATTTATACACCAACTTATCAAACTAACTTTTAGAGTGATTGAAAGGACCATAACAATACATAATTTCAGGACACAGGGCAAAAATGCTCCATTACTTTCATATACTATAGTTTGTTCAGCTGTTCCCTAATCCATTATTACCTTTCTGATGGGATATCCCTTCCCCAACAATAAACCAAGTGAAGGAAATTTAAGATACATCTTAGATATTGTTTAATGACCTCTGAAGACACTTTTTTTAAGTTCAGTTTTGGATTCTTGCATTTATATTCATTCTAACCAAAAAATGTATCCAGTGGAGCCAGTGTGACATATGGGCAACATCCTATTTCTGAAGCAAAAGATTATGGGCCTGGGGTTTGGTAAGGAAGAGTAGTGTGTTTTGACTTCATGGTGTGATAAATAGAGGGAGCAAAATTCATTGTATGGATCACAGTCATTGCAATGATATTCCCTTTATGTACTTTATGGCTTTTTAGTATAGTAATGTAGACTGTATTTTCTTGTTCAGTTTAAAGTTCCAACAGTATTTCAAACTACTTCTCTAAACATCCTGAGTTTGACATAACACTAAACACGTTGCCAAGTCAAGTTTTAGTCTGTTTGGAAGGCTTTCCCTTTTCCCATATATTCCATATTTGTGTCCTTTTGTCTCACTGAAGCGTTGTTATAAAGAGTTCTTTTTTTTTTAACAAGTGTTCTCCTTTATCTTGAGAATCTCAAAATCGCATTTGCCCCAGAAATAGAGCGCATAGCCTCAGTTATTGAACTTCTGTTTACAATATAGAATTTGTAGTTTCAAATTTTTTTTTTACTGAATGGGGTTAATTTCATTTCTGTCACAAAACTTTTAAGGAAATTTTTTTAGAAAAGATTTTATTAATGCCTTTTGTATTTGTACCACATCCTTCCCTCTGAAATCATTGCCCACTAAATTTTTCCTTAAAATGAAGAAAAATATTTAACCAGAAATTTGCTGGCACAAATATTGTGTCTGATAGCATATATCAAGTTCTGTATTGGATAGAGCCTACTGGAGGTATGTTTTGTTATAGGCTCTTCAATACTGAGATTGGTCATTACATTTAATTAGTTTGAATGCTTTTGTTATGATCTAATTTACATTATTGCAGTCATTATATATATATATATATATATATATATATATATATTATATATATATATTCTGGTTGTGTATCATTTCAAGTCAAATCATATTTCTCTTAAAGTAATGTATCTTATCATTTCTTACCACACAGTAATATTCCATTACATTTGGAAAACTAACATTTAAATACTGCTTTCAGGTTTGCAAAGCACAAATATTTTATCTTCATAATAACCTTGGGAGGTAGGTGCTGTTATACCTATTATATAGATGGGAAGACTGAGGCAAGTAGGTTTAAATGTGAATCACACAACTAGGAAGTGTATGGTCTGGTATTTGAACTCAGGGCTTCTGATTGCAGTTTTTGTTCACTCTCCTCCAGGCTGTGGTTCAGTTTGGGCATTTCCCAATTGATGGGTATACACTTTGTTTCCAATTCTTTGCTCCCACAAGAAAGGCTACAATGAATTGTTTTGGTATTTATCAGGCGTTTCTTTCTGCCTTTGACCTCCTTGAAGTGTACCTACAATAGGGGAGGAACAAAAAGCATGAGCAATTAAATGACTTTTTTTTCCCCTCACAATTTCAAATTGTTTTTCGGATTGGTTGCTGAGACCAGAGATGTCAAACTTGGACTGGGGCAGTAGGGGTGGGAAAGAGGGGTAATTGGGAAATGTTTAACAAAATAAATAAAATTCCTACACAACATAGATAATGTTAATTTGTGATTTTCTAAGTCAAAGTGCTACTGCAGGAATCCATTTCTGTTTGAGTTTCACTACATTAGACAAATTCAGAACTTGCCCATCACTGCATAAATGAGTGTACCTGTCTTTTAAGCTCTGCTGACATTGACTATATAAAATTTTTGTCATCTTTGTTACATTGAGAGAAGTGAGAGAAAACTTCAGGGTTGTTTTAAATTGTACTGCTCTTTTAATATTAGTAATTTGGAGTAATACTATGGTTGATAGTTTGCATACAGTCAGTCAATATGCTTTGCCTATTTATCTAGTAGAACATCTCTTAGTCTCATTCATACACACACACACACACACACACACACACACACGCATGTGTGTGTGTGTGTGTGTGTGTGTGTGTGTGTATGTTGGACTTTTTTCAGAGCTGTTTGATGTAAAGATTCCCCCCACCATCTGAGTTTCTCTTATTCTAGCTGTATTGATTTTTTTCATGTAAAAGCATTTTTAATTTTATGCAATAAAAATTTTCTCTAATTATCTTTCATGATCACCTCTATTCCTTGTTTGGCTAAAGATTCTTCTCCTAGTTATAGTTATAAAAAGCATCTCCTTCTGTTCTCTTTTATAATGTGACCTTTTATATTTAGTTCGCATAGCTGTTTGGCACTAATTGTTGATATATGGTATGAATTGTTGGTCTAAATCTAATTTCTGTCAAAATGCTTTCCAGTTTTCCCAACAGATCTTATCATAAAGGAGACCTTGCCACTTGTAGTTTATGTTCATGGATTTATCTCCTTTTGCTTCTGGGTCTTGCTTATCAGAGGCATCTAAGTGGTGCAGTGGATAAAGTGCTGAGCCTGGAGTCGGTCATTTATCCTCTGTTTGCCTCAGTTTCTTCAACTATGAAATGGGGATAATTACAGCTTCTGCTTTGCAGGATGAAATGAAGATCAAATGAGATGATATGTGTAAAGCACTTAGGATAGTGGCTCATAATAAGAACTATACAAATACTTGTTCGATTCCTTTTTATCTGGTCTCTGTCACTGGTCAAATTTTTAGTTCTTTAACTAGCACCAAATAGTTTTGATAATTATATATTCCAGTACACAAAGAATCTGTGATCTCATCAGCACTGAGAGCTCCCTACAGGGAGACAGATCTGTGACTTAATAGATAAGTACTAGAGAGAGTCAGTTGATAATAGACATTAAGTGATTTGCCAAAGGTCACAGAGCTAATGATTGTCATAGATGAGATTTATACCTAGGTCTTCTTGACTCTAAGCTCAGCATTCTATTCATTGTACCACCTTGTTTCCAATTTGATGATCATTTTATGATACAATGGGATTATATTTGATGTTAATTTTTATGAAATAATGTGAGATCTGGTAACCGTCATAGATTGGATCTTAGAGAACATCTACTCTTGCTTCCTCATTTCAAAGATGAGGAAACCGAGGTCCAGAGAGGTTGTGAATTGCCCAAGAATACAAAGGTAGTAAAAAAATCAGAATTTGAATTTGGGTTTTTTGTCTCCAAACCTAGTTCTTTTTCCATTGCATCACTGCTGTCTCCTTTCATTCTTGCTTCGCCCAATTTCCATTATTTCCCTTGAGGTTCCTTTTTTTTCTTCCAAATCAATTCTATTATCATTTTTGTCTAGTTACATAAAACATCACAGTGGCAATTTGACACAGCACTAAATCTGTAAATTAATTTATATAGTATAGTCACTTTCCTCATATTGGTATAGCCTAACCATTGAACAATGATTATTTCTCCGGTCTTTTAAGTCTTGCTTAATTTCTCTTAAAAAAAAGTCTTTTATAATTGTATTTATATAAAGATACTTTTTTAAAAAAATAAAAAAATTCTAAGACTTAAATTGCAAGTACTTCTTTGAGAGGAACTTCTTTAATAGGTTATTTCTAAATATTTATTCCTAAGAATTTTCATTAGTTTTTGTGTCACTGATACTGCTAGTTTGTATTTCTTTTTCTTTTTACTTTAATCTTCATTGGACAGAACAGAAAAATATGTTGAATTCATAGAGTTCTGAATAACTTGGGGTTCAGTCAATCAATGATTTATTATGTGCTTACTATGTATCAGGCACTGTATGAAGCAGTAGTTTCAGGAACACAACCAAAAAATGTGCCTAGTGATCTAGAATGTCACCATGATCTTTAAATTAGCCATTGAGTGGTATAAAGTATCCATTTTTAGAAATGGCATTTTATTTGGATTGTGGGACTGTTCTCTAATTTGGTTGCTAATAAAAAGCTAGAGAAAAAGTGAATTTATTGTTATTATTTTATTAATATATTATTGAATTGTAGCATTATAATCTTACAGTTATGTCATAAAACGAACAAAATTTCTCTTCTGTGATAGCCTGAATTTAAGGGAAGAAAAACTACCATCCTTGCCTTCTTTCATATTTATTGCTTTCTACTTTCTGTTGCTGGTAGCTAAGTGACACAGTAGATAGAGCACTGGGCTTGGAATCAGGAAGACTCATATTCATGAGTTCAAATGTGACCTCAGGCATTTAGTAGCTGTGTGACCCTGGGCAAGTCACTTAACCATGTTTACCTAAATTCCCTCATCTGTCAAATGAACTGGAGAAGGAAATGGCAAATCACTCCAGTATCTTTGCTAAGAAAACCCCAAATGGGGTCACAGAGAGTTGGACATGACTGAAAAATGACACCAGCACCACAACAACTTTCTGTTGTTCCTCACACTTAATATCCTAGTAGTGGTTGATATGTAGGAAATTTAAAAAAAATACAAAAACAGAGATATTAATGGAGGATGATTATGGATTAGAAGTTCTAAGAATAATAGAACTGGAATGTGACCCTATTCCCACGAGTACCATCTCTTGCCGGTGATCTCTCATAATTTCTTCTCATCTACTTCTTTCTCCTTCACCCTCAATTGTGCTCATGAGGGCCATCTAAACATTTTCTATTTCCTTGTATAGGAAGCTAGCTCTGCACACAATGAACAGAAATGCCAGAGACAGTCATCAACTGACCGCGCATCCTTCACCGTTAAGAGACAAACTTCTTTAACATTCCAAAGTGCTGACCCAGAACAGATTCGACAAAGTTTGCTGACCGCAATTCGCTCTGGAGAGGCTGCTGCCAAATTGAAAAGGGTAAGCTTACTTTTCATCAGACGGCTAACAGTGGACTTATTTTCAACATTGCCAATTTAGGGGAAATTGTTTCTGACGTTTAAACATAAAAAAGGACACTGAAAATGACTCCTTTCCATAACTTTTTTTTTAGTTCAAAATGTATATGCTTAATTAGCAAGAATTCAAGTTTGCTACCCCTCCCCAGCAGTTTTTTTAAATTATAACTTTCTTCTCACTGCTTCCCCCCTGTTTGTTTGTTTGTTTTTTAACACTCATAATAAATACACATAGTCCAGCAAACCAAATTTCCACATTGACCACGTCCAAATACATGGCTTATTCTGGATTTTAAGTACATTGTCTCTCTGAGAGATTATGTAATTCATTGTTATTCCTCTTGGCTTGTGGTTTATCGCTACATTAATCACAGCTCTAAAGTCTCTAATAGTTGTTTTTCCTCTATGGTGTCATGTTTAAATTGTTCTCCTAGTTTTGCTCATGTCACATTGCATTGGAAACTTCACAGTTTACTCTGAACCTATCTCTTTGATCACAAGGCACAAGGATATTTAACTGTTCCTCAGGAAGTGGACACTACCTCATCTTCCAGTTTAGTGCTACTCTGAAAAGAGCTGCTTTAAGTATTTTTGTTTCTATGGTCCCTTTTCTCTCTTTGATATCTTTGGATTATAGTCATACCATACAGTTTGGTAATTATTTTGGGCATAGTACCGAATTGCTTTCCTTGAAATACCTAATTGCTGGACCAATTCATAGCCCCACCAACAAGGCATACCTACGGGTGCCTATTTTCTCGAAATCTCTTTAACATTTGTCAGTTTCCTTATTTGTTATCTTTGCCAATTTTGTAAGATGGAACCTGTGTTGCTCTAATTTGTATTTCTTTAGTTATTAGTGATTCAGATCATTTTTTCATTTGACTATTGATAGGCTGGTTTTCTTCCTTTGAAAATATTCTATTCATATCCTTTGGAAGGATGACCCTTAGTTTTACAGTCAGCTCCATACATATCTTGGCTATAAGCCCTTTAACAAAAAAAAACTTACTGTAAAGATTTTTTTCCCCATTTACTTGTTTACATTCTAGTTTTAACTACATCAGATTTGTTTATGAAAAAACTTAAATTTCGTATAATCGAAATTGTCCATTTTATTTTCTGCAGTCTACATTTCTTGTTTAGTCATGAATCCGTCCCCTATCCATAGAGCTGAAAGGTTATTTCTTCCTTGTTCTTCTAAATTTATGTTGCCTCTTATGTCTAAATCATGTATTCATTTGCAGTTTATCTTGGGATAGTGTGTGAGATGTTGGTCTATGCCCAGTTTCTGCCAAACTGCTTTCCAGTTTCCCAAGCAGTTTTTTGTAAAAAATTACCCTGCTAAAATTAGTCTTTTGGTTTAGCAAACACCACTCATGATTTGCTTGTTACTTTAATCTGTTTTGCTGAATGACCTCTCTATTTTTTAATCAGTATCAAAGTGTTTTTATAATTGCTGCTTTGTAGTGCACTTCAGGCTTCTTTTCCAAAATGAATTATCATGTGGTCCCAGGTGCAAAATACATTATTATATGGTAGGTCTTATACTAGCAGCTGATATGGACTTAGTTATTAATTCCCCTTCCCTTCTCTGGGCCTCACTGTCCTCATCTGTTAAATGAGGGCATTAAACTAGATATTCTTGTATCTTCCAACTTTGTCTCTGATCTTATTTGAACAACAAAAAAATCCCCTCCTCTTTATTTTGACCAGTTATTGCAGAGAAGTAGAACCCTAACTTTGAAAAGAAGGCTTCAGAGAGGGAGTGGTATAGTATTTAGGGGTTGGTCCTCAAGTTAGGAAGACTTGGGTTGAAACCATGGCACTAATCAATGTCTGTTGCATTATAGGCAAGTCATTTGACCTCTGTGTGAGCCCAGAATCTCTAAAACTAGATGATATAGTACTCTAAATGCACATGCTAGCTAGTTCCTAAACCTGATATTTATTCCATTTCCTACCTTTGTGCCCTTGCATAAGCTGTTCTTTATGTTTCAAATACATTTCCTTTGCACCTCTACCTCTTAAAAGTCTCAAACTCCTCAAGGCTCAGCATCTAATAAAGCTTTTCCCAAATCATCCCTTCTCCCCCCCCCATCCCCAATTCTCAGTTTTCTTTTGCTCCCTGAATTTGCTTTTCAGTGCACATTAGATCCTACCCCTAAAATTTAAGTTCTTTGAGAACTGGTTTGGTTTTTTTTTTTTATAATTCCCTGCTCCTAGCACAGTGCCTGACACATAGTAAATATTTAATATATGCTGATGAATTGAATTGAATTGAACTGAACGGAACAGTTGGTTCAACATAAGGAGCAAAGGCACCATGCAGAGAAAGGACAAGACAGGTGTAAGTGATTCCGGGTAAAGGATCCCAGATATTTTCAGTTCAATCAGTTTCTTCTCATGGGGCAGGAGGTTGGCCACTTTGGAGACCACTACAAAAGCATCTCAGGTTCACAGCTAAGCAAGTATGGAAATCATTCCAGGTGATTCTTTTGGGTCCTGAGAAGAAAACATGAAGGAGAATTTCAGGAGCTTAGGTTTTATTTTTAGAATAGACATAAAGTATGTGATTTTGAATATTTTAGGTCTTTATTCATAGGAGTTAAGTTTTTGTTTGTCTCAGTAGCATACTTTCTAATTATTAATTCAGTAGGCAATTAAAATAGAAAATTTGTTGTATGTTGTATGGTGACATATTCAAAAGATGTAGAAGGGGAAAAGTATGTTTTCTAAGGTTAACAAAATTGGATATCATCATTTGAGAAAAGTCTTTATCATTTCTGACCCCTCTTCCTAAGAAAGAATTTATAAGTGATCACTGGTTTTAGTGGACCCACGCAAAGCTACACTAGCTATAGGACTACTCTTAATGTCTCTATGTGAAGTCGATGGAAATATTAATCATCTTTCATGATTAATTAGAGGAACTTGCAAATTAAACTGGAACTTCTTTTATAGCCTTCAGTCAAACTAAGAGGCCACTATACACTCAGTATGTTAAAGAGCCTGATTTGGCAGAGTCATTTCACCTATAAAGCTTTCACTGATTCAAGGGTGGGCTACATGAGAAAAAGATTTTAGAGAGTCAGGTCTTAAATGTCTAGATCTTTTTATCGCATCATGCATAAGAGTTCACACTTAAATGTCACTTTACAGTTTAAAATTACCTTCCTCCCCACATCCTTGTGAGGAAGTAAAAGTATTATCCCCAGATGAGGAAACTGAACCTCAAAAGGTCAAATAACTTGTCTAGGGTCACCTAGCTGGTAAGTAGCAGAGAAAAGGGTAGGATTCCCAACTACAAATTTGGTGTTCTTTTCTTCCTATCCATTTCTTTAGGTTTATATTGTCTAGGAAACATCCATCACTTCTAATGGAAGACCAAAGTTGTAAAGTGTTAGCAGGAGAGAAAGCAAACCCCTGAATTTAGAGATGGGGAAACTGAGGTCCGTAGGTATCAAGTAATGGGTCCAAAGTCACACAGAATTAAATGAAAGAATTGGGATAAAAAGCTAATACTCTTGACTCCTATTCTGGGGCTCTCTCTATGCAACTTCATCAGTAGTTCTCAAACTTTTTGGCCTCAGGACCCCTTTACGCTCTTAAAAATTATTGAAAATCCTTCCTCTAAGAACTTTGGTCAATGCACTACTTGTGTCTGTTGCCAAGCATTCATGTAAAAGAAGACCTTTGATTATTAGTTGGTGCTAATACTGGATGAACACAAACAAAACAAGAAAGCCAGCACATCCATAGATTCATTCATTTTGTACAGCAAAAGTATAATTCTGCAGATGAGAGAGTAACTCTTTCTTCATGTTTACAAGCTACATCTTTAATTCACAGGTCATGTAGCCTCTGGAAACCTCCACTGTTTGCTTGTGAGCAAATGGAAATGAAAAAAGCAAATAAGATCTTAGAATTCTGAAAATAGCTTTGATTTTGAGGACCCCTTGAAAGGATCTTGGGGACCTAGAGGCATCTGCAGACCACACTTGAGAACTGTTACACTGTAGTCTGCTACTGCCATAGCTGAGTGGTTCTATAGTGCCAGTGCCCATTCCTTCAAGAAGCACCTTAGGTCATAATCTATTGGTGGGTTTTTAGTTAAAAAAAAAATCAGTTAATAACCTGTATGTATCATTAGAAATGGCACTTGTATGGGGCAGCTAGGTGGTGCAGCGGATAGAGCATTGGCCCTGAAGTCAGGAGTACGTAAGTTCAAATCCAGCCTTAGGCCAAACACTTACACTTACTAGCTGTGTGACCCTGGGCAAGTCACTTAACCCCATTGCCTAAAAAGGAAAAAAAAACTGCCAAAAAAAAAAAAGAAATGGCACTTGCAGGTCTCATTCCTCATTCTGGTCTGTGCTTACATACCATCTTTTTTATAGCAGTACACTGAAAATTTTTCCTAGTTTGTTTCAAATGATGACATTTCTTTTATAGAACAACAATTATGTTGCCAAATAAAATCTCTAGTGATTTTGACAGTGAGTTTAGATGTTCAGCAGAAAGTTGGCTCTGTGCTTGCCTATGACTTGGCTCCCAGAATGTTCAATTTAACTTCAGGTACCAACCTGCCTTATGGCTGATGTTCACACCACATCAATTAACCTTAATTATAATGGTTAGATTCACATTACAGCGATTATCTGGTTGATTGCTCTAGAGAGGATATAGTCATAACTGACATAGCATGGGCATGTCATGGATTTCATACCCTAACCTTTTAAAATTCATCCTCCACCCTGCCCCTGTGTTCAACACATTTATAGAGGTCATTCCTTTTTCCCCTTCTCCCTACTGTACAGAGAAGGGCTGATGAACCAAGGTGGGTGATTTATAAGCTGCTTTTGATGTTAGGACGAATATATGATCAGCATATCCTTTTATATTCAATTGATCCCAGCTGAACTAATTTTTAAACATAAGGTTCTTTGAATCATATTGTTTATAAGACACCTGGTGGCAGAGTATTAGGTTTTTTTCTTCTAATTATGCACATGTCTTTTCATATACCAATTTGAATTAGAATACAATTTTTAGGAATATATCAAACTAAGGAGTGATTTTTATTATTTTATCTGAAAAGTACTCTTCAGTCTTTGGAAGCATTCCAAAAATAGACCAAAGGCTAGAGATAAGGGGCTTTGGGGCAGACTTGTCAAGGAGCTTAGTCTCCTGCTGATTTCTCTCCTATTTCCTTGGACTGTTTTTTTAGCTATCAAAAGCACTCCTAATAGCAATCCTTTTAAAAAAAACCTACAAGTTTAAAGGGATTTTTCATAGTTTCATTGCAGAAAAATAGAAATCTTTTATTTCATGACAATTCATCTTAAGAAGTTAGCAGTGAAGTATACTGCTGTTGACTTCTTATTTTACTCAAGGAAATAACTGAGGATTTAAGTTTTGGCCAGAACTGACTTGTTGAGACCACTCATTGCAAATTAGATGAAGCAGCATTGGGGAAGTTTGGAAAGTTGTTGATGGAAAGGGCCTAGTGTTGGCAAATGTTCATTTCAGTATGGCCCCAGTTTAAACCCCAAATTATTATAAATAGTGAATCAATTATTCTTTCCCCTCTCTGGATACTTTTAAAAGCTATTTAGCTATTTGATTTCAGCTAATAGTATTTTTCCCTTGCCCCAAAGTAAATAAGTTATAGAAATGTCAGTCAACATCAGCACATGGGAGAATTTCCTGAGAATAAAAATATATATGAGAAGATAAGTTTGATCATAATTTTAAGCAATCAGAGACCCATAGTTTTTTTAATTTATTTTTTTATTTGTGTTATGATGTACTTGGATTTCTTTGTAACCATATGTATTATTTTATACATTTGAAAACATTTTTCTGAGAAGGGTTTCACAGGCTTCACCAGATTACCAAAGTGGGCCATGACACAAAACTGTGCTATAGATGAATAAACATTTTTAAATCAAGGAAAATAACAAAAGGAAAAACCAAATCTAAGAGGAAAATTTACTATTGGCTTCTCCCTCTAAGGGAGGAGATTGTCTCCTCCTCTGTTGGCACCTTATCAATTTAATGTATTTGCTCCAGTGTTTCTGTTACAGAAGATATTGGGCCACAAAAAGGGGTTTTCTGATGGAATATTAAGAGAAAACCTGATGATTACATGTGATTTACTGGTACTGAAATAGAATAATCAACTGTACACAATCTCAATCATGCAAACACACACACACACGCTCACATACACCATGCTTTCACTATTAGGTATCAGTGACATTTGCTCAATCTTCTATCATCTGAATAGCCTCCCTTTCCCCATTATTCTCAAAAGCTGATTTTTGCCCATGAAAATGTCAACCACAATGTCATCATCACTGGGACAGAAGCATGCTGTTACTAAGATTTGTGAAAAAGAGACATCTCAGCTGGTTTAGTTCCGGCTTCCCTGAACTTGGCATGTGTGAAATCCAGAAACCTGGTTTTTGATCCAGTTGAATCCTGTAGATGCTCTATGGGATGTTCTTGCTTTCCAAATTCCTCCCTAAAGGAAGCAGGAGAAAAACTGAGTCACAGTGGCTCAAGGCAGCCAATTTTATTTTTTCTCCTCAGTATCTTGCCAAAATATTTGTCCAGGATAGATAATATGGCCTTTTGTACAACAGTTCTTTTTCTAACAGGGAAAAAAAACAAGTCTTTGTCAATAATCAGTAATCTAAATGGAGAAGAGTCTTCATTTTTTTCTTTCTTTTGAAGTACTTCTATCATGTTTCATGATTATTTTTTAAAATTTCTATTTCTTTGCTGAGCTTATGAAATAATAATAGCTGACATTTATATATAGCACTTTAAAGATTGGCTGCACAGTTTACAGAAGTTATCTCATTTGAGCCTCACAACAATCCTGTGAGGTAGGTGCTATTAATTATCTCTGTTTCATAGATGAGGAGACTAAATCTCAGAAAGGTTAAGTGACTTTACCAGAGTCACCCAGCTGTTAAGCTTCTGAGAAAAGTTTTGAACCCAGGTCTTCCTCACTCCAGTGTTCTCTGTCCAACATGCCACCTAGCTAGCTGCCTTTCTCCCAGTAAGGTTCCAGAACACCTAAATATGTCTTCATCTAGGTGAATCTAAATAAATTTCCTTAGATCCCTTTAAATGATGAGGATAATTAGGAAATTCAAGTTTCATTGTGTTTGATTTTCAGATTCATTCATAATGATTTAGTTCAATTGTTAACGATATCATATCTTGAGTATCTTATCTCTTAGGAATTTACTTTACTATCCAAATTATTTTGATGATATGGCAAACAAAGAAATAACTGGGGTTTTTTTTGCCATTCAAGTATATGCATTCTTTTTTTCCCCAAAAAAATTGCTAACATTTTTATTTAAAATTTTGAGTTCCAAATTTTATCCTGCCCTCTCCTTACCCCTTCCTGAGACAGTAAGCAATCACATATAGGTTATGCATATGCAATTATGTAAAACATTTCCATATCAGTCATTTTGTATAAGAAGACTCAAAAGAAAAAAATGAAAGTGAAAAATAGCATGCTTCAGTCTATATTCAATCAATATCAGTCTCTGGAGGCAGATAGTATGCTTTATCATTAGTCCTTTGGGATTGTCTTGGCTCATTGTAATACTGAGGATAGCTAAATCGTTCACAGTTCTTCATCAAACAATATTACTGTCACTTTGTACAACATTCTCCTGGTTCTGTTCATTGCACTATGCATTAGTTCATGTAAGTCTTTCCAGGTTTTTCTGAAATCATCCTGCTTGTCATTTCTTATAGCATAATAATATTCCATCATAATCATATAGCACAAGCTTGTTTAGCCATTCCCCGATTGATGGGCATCCCTTTGAAATTTCTAATTCTTAGCCACCACAAAAAGAGCTGCTATAAATATTTTGTACAGATAGGTTCTTTTCCCTTTTTTTTGAATGTCTTTGGGATATAGACCCATTTCATCATTGCTGGATGAAAGGGTATGCACAGTTTTATAGCCCTTTGGGCATAGTTTCAATTTGCTCTCCCGAATGGTTGGACCAGTTCACAACTCCATTAACAATGCATTAGTATCCCACTTTTCCCACATCCCCTCCAACATCCAACATTTTCTTTTTTTTTTTGTCATATTAGCCAAAGTATATGCATTCTTAAAATATGAAAATAGCCTCTTTCTATGAATAAACAGTCCATGGGAGGAGCAAGTCAGGGTGAGAGGAAGTCAAAGTCCATGTTTTTAAAATGGTTTTGGAGAATTCACTGTATTTTTCTGCATTCTCACTACCAGGTTTTAGAAGCCATAATTAAGCTTATGAAAAAAGCTCATTAACAGCTTGGATTGCAGTCTGTGTTTGTGCTCCTGTCCTTTGAGTTAGTTTAGTCATTTTATAAAGACTATGATGTGTTAATGGATTATTTAACTTGTTTGTTGTGAAAATAACAAATCTCTTATTTTTAATTTCATGGATGAGTGATTGTTGATTCTTAATGATTTATACTTCATTGAACAATAAAATACTAAATGTGAGTGCTCATAATTAACCAGTAAATAAAATGCTGTAGTGAATGAAAATTTGAAATTAGGCAGCTGTATGCTTGTAAGTGGAAAGATATGATCATGTGTCTCTCTTTTAGGTTAGTGTTCCATCCAATACCATATCTGTAAATGGAAGACCAAGACTCAACTGTCCAGCGTCCACAGAAACACAGTCTGACCATTAGAGATGTTACACCAGCTATTTTGCACTTTACCACCACCTCTTACATAGGCCAACATAATACTAATTGAGATTTATTGCAAATGTAAATTCAGGTGTCTGTTAATATATATATTGTCTATTAAGATGTGTGAATTTTGTGTGATGGCTTTTCATGCCAAGAGAAGAATTATTGAAATATGTAATTTATAGTGATATTTTTGTCTGTATGCCTTAAAAGCTGAATATGCTGCTGTAGGACTTTTAAGAAGAGGTGCAGATGACTTTCAGTTTTTGAAATGAAAAATAATCACATTTTGTTGATTTCATTGAATTATTTGTAGAAACATATTGTACAATGGTGATTTAGTCAAAAGGATAACTTTTTAATATCCTTAGGTTTATAATTGTATAAGTACTTTAACATAATATGTGAGTTAATAAATGTCTGCCATATGCTGCCTTGATGTTACTGTTAAATTAAAAACCTGTAATAAGCATAAATTTCAAACCTTGCATTCTGCAGAAAGAACCAACTAAAAATACTAGTGATAACAAATGACTGTCTTCAGTTGAACATTGGTTTTAATTGTTGAATCATTTTGTGCTCAAAATTCTTCCTCTTACATTTTTTTTCCATGGGAACAATGCAAAATCAGAGACTGTGATGGGATCCTCAGTATTTTAATGTTGTAATAATTCTCTGCATTTAGTCTTTAACCCTTGAAATGCACAAAGAAAATTTAATTATAAATGTTTTTCTGTATATAATTCTTATAGTATAAGGGCACAGATGAATCTTAAACATATACATGTTACTTGTACCAGAGGCCTTAAAATATCCTTTGTCAAAAATATTGATTTATAGTAATAGTTATTTTATTTTTGATGTATAGGGCCAAAAGAAAAAAAAGGATTAGAATGTGTCTAGATTAAACTGTTTAAAATGGGTTTTGAAAATCCCAGTCAGCCTATTTTAATTATAGTCATGTGATATAATAGTAAGTCATAATGAAGCTTATTTAAAATTGAAATACTATTATTCTAAATATTAAAAATGAGTAAATTAATGTTGGAACACTTAAAGAGGTGCCTAATTGGTAGGGGTGAGGGTACACCTGATTTTTAGGCTTACAGTTTTTATGTGATACGTGTTTGTCCACAGAAGGAACTAAATTGTTCACTTATTATCATAGCTTTTGGTCAAGCAAGATGATTGTGAATTCTGGTAGATTTCTACTGCCCCTAGTGAGATATTTGCCAGTTTTAAAAGTATGTTGATTCTTTTCCAGTTAAATAAAAATTATCTTATTTATTTTTGAGGACTTTTTCTTTAAAGGGTGGTTTGTACCATACATGTAAGCATGCGTGTTGATCCTTCTGCCGTATAAGTATGCTATGGTTGGGCATACTAAGTCAAGCATGGATGCTGTCTCTCTTTCTAAGATAAAACATGCAGACAACTGAATATTGTGTTTAACCTCCCTAAGCTTGAGTTTCCTGATCTATAAAATGGTTTGGACAGGTGATAGGGGTGGAGGAGAGGCTTGGACTAGATCACCCCTGAGATCATTTCTAGCTCTTTATCTATGACCTGTAATAAACAAATACAGAAATAAAGTGTATTTGCAAGAAAACCTGCCATAAATATTGTGGAGATGAGTAAAGATAAATTTGGGAAAAAATGGAAACCAAAGCATTTAAGTAAAACAATGTAAGATATTATAGTTGTGTTGCTATTAGAGGAGAGCTCCTTAGGCACAGATTTGACACACAATTCTAATAAAGTTGGTTAACCTTGTTTCCCAGCCCAGAGAGACTTGAATCAGACATAACACAATTAGTTGGTAGGAGGGACTGCTAGAGAAAGGCATGCTTACAACTTCAAGAAATAATGAGACTTCTTCCCGCCTTTGCAGAGGTAAGGTCCTATGGCTGTGTCACAAACTATACTATCAGACGTGGTTGATGTATTGTGTTTTTGTGAATTATTATTTTTCTCTTTATTATCTGTTACAGGAGATGATTCTCTGAGGAAAGGGAAGGAAATATTTGGAAATAAAGGTGGTTAAAAAAAAAGTTAATATGATAACTTGATAACCTAAAGAGCCAGGGAGGAGGCTGAGGTCACATTTGAACTCAGGTCTTCCTGATTCCAGGCCTAGCACTCAATTCACTGAGCCACCTAGCTGCCTCCAATTAGAAATGACTGAAACACTCAAAAAACATAACCATCTGGGGCCAGTTAGTATAGAACCAAGCAAGCACCTTAGCAATGTATTGCTGTACCATAGCTCACAGTTTTTCAGAATAATGATTGAATCATCAAGAAAAGTATAAAATTACATTCATTACACTAATAATGTATTAGATTTTCATCAAAGACATTTAACATTTTTTTTAAGCACATAAAGGGGATATTAAGCTTCAATAATTTAGAAAATCTATTAGGTACAATACTTCATTCCCCAACAATTCCAGCTAAATGAGCCTATTATGTAAATTGTTTAAGGGATAGCTTTATGTACTGCATCTGAAGTTGTTGAAGTTATTTCTGATAAATTATAAGGGAGAGTAGCTTAGGTAGGAAAAGTAAAACATACACGGTTAGGAGTTGTTCAGTATGCTAAGAGGAAGGGATAACCAGACTAAAGTAAAAACAGAAGGAATTTGAGGACAGTAAGTAGATGTGGGAGTAAAAGATCATGTTTGATCAGCTGCATCTCCCATAAATATTTAATGCCAAATGACAAGGTCATCAATAATGAGGTGATAGAGTTCAGTCGGTCAATTGGTATCAAGCCCACACACACTGCAACAAAGCTTTTGGCTAAACTTAGAGGGAGGATAGATTTCAGCACAACACCTAAGAAAGTATCACTTGGTGAACTCATTTGTGAGTTGTAACTGTATGCGAGGCTAGTTGCAAAAAAAGAGAGAGAGGGAGAGAAAGGAAACCTGACAGGGATGAAGTAGTGGTTTCAGAAATCAAAAGCAAAAGAAAGGTGGTTTAGAGTATATGTTAACCTCACTGAAATAGTATAGGTGGCTTAGTCTGAACAGCAATATTATAGCACAGGTCAATCAATATTAGCCAGAAATAAGTCTAAATTTGGAATATAGCCATGGCCTTTACCAAGAGGACCATATATCACTCTGTTTACTGCTTGAATGGTGAAACATTTTTCAATGGTCACATCCATACTTACGTTAAGAACAGGTATGGAGTGTGATGGAGTAGAGTCAATTCTAGAATATCCCATTTGGGGACTAACCCACCTTTTTTGATTTTACTCCTTTTCTGGACTTACACACTTCACTGTTTGTTGACACTTTTTATTAGTTGGGGAAAAGAAGGAGGAAATCAGATTGGCCAATTCTGCAATAGTCATCTGCTTAGTGAGAAAGGAAAGCTAAAATGAGTGGTTAAAACAGAAATTGCTAATATCACTAACCCTGAATCAGATTGAAGTGGTTGTATTATATGATACACTGCCCAAAATAGAATAAACAGTCTCTCTCCGCCATTGTATCAGGCAAAAGGACAAGATCTACAATGCTCAAATATGCTGTCTCCTTAATTAAATATTCTTCCCTTTCTTTTAAATGTCACCACTCTCTTGAAAAATCTTCTTTTGCAACCTGAGTACTTCAGATTCTTACACCTAAGCTATATGTCTTTTTTGTCCATGACAAGGGAAAATGCCAACATCCGTTCTCTGTGCTGATAAGGGAATAACTTATGACAGGTATTTATGGAGGGATTAAAACCTGATCCCTTAATTTGTAAAGGACTACAGCTAGTCTACTTCCTAAATGGACAAATTCAATTTGTAATTTTTGTCGATTCCTCTGCTGTTACTTGAAAAGTCTGTGCAATTCCTCAAAACCAAATTGCTCCATTTCTCATTTACATTATTCTTCAGTTCATTATTTTCTTCCCTCTTCATCCCCTCCCAGAAGAAACTCATGTATAAGTAAGAATGTGATAAGTGAAAAGTATGTATAATATGGACAAAATGCTCAAAGAAAATTCAAAGGGAGAGAGATCACTTTCTACTGGAGTGTTGGAGGGGGTGGATCAGCAAAGACTTCATAGTAATTAGAGTGGATATTAAAAGGTTTCAATAAGTGGAAATGTAGAACATGGACTTTCTAGGTATGGAAGTTGGCCTATACAAATTCACTGGAGATGAGAGATTTGAGGATGCTTTCCTCTAGAATGGAAATCATGTAAAGGGGAATAATATGACAAAAGACTTTTCCTGATGAATAAGTAACCAAATGATATAAACAAGGAAATCGCAAAAGAATTGCAATCTATAAGCAGCTATGTGAGAAACAGTTCCATAGCACCAAAAAGATGCCAATCAAAACAACCAAGATTCTACCCCATATCTAGCAAATTGACAAAAGACAAAAGATTAGAAGTTAAAGAACTTGTAAAAAGACAGGTAAACTATCGGTGGAGCTGGGAATTGGTTCAGCCATTCCTGAAAACAATTTGAAATAAAACTAAGAAAGTAACTGAAATGTACCATATACTTTGACCTAATATTAGCCATATACTCCAAGGAGGGAAAAAAAGTCTAAATATTTATAATAGCACAGTTTATGGTAAAAAACTGGAAACAAAATCGATACTGATTGAGGCATGTCTAAATACATTGTGGTCCACGACTATAATTGACTATTACTATTTCATAAGTAACAACAGATATGATGTCTATATGAGAGGAATATGAAAACTTACACGAACTGATTGAAATAAAAAGTAATTAGTAATATAACCCAATGACTATAAAAATGTAAATTAAAATAACAAAAAAATCCCCGACTGAACAACTGACCCTGAAGATTATCACTCAGGCAGTGAAAAGGCACTTTCTTCTGGTCTTTGCAGAGATGAGACACTATGACAATGTCACATTGCATATATGAGAGCTTCTTAAAATTTTTCCATTCTCCACTCCTTTTGACCCTTTTCAGCAGCTTTTGTTGGCTTTGCGTGGCCTGAGGGCATGCAAAGTGCAAAGAGCATGCTTTGTGTTCAGAACCAAGGCTGCAGTGAAGTTGCAGCATGCAACACAGGCAAGTGCTGCCAGAAATACCTCGTTTGATTTTTAATTAATTTTTGGTTGTTGACGTTCAGAAACCTTTTACTGTTGCCAAATTTTTCGTGACCCCATATGGGGTCGCAACCCCCAGTTTAAGAAGTGCTGGCATATACTGTATTAACAGACTTGGTTGATATGTTGGTTATTTTTGCTAAATTGTCCTTTTTATTATCTGTTACAAAAGATGCCTCTCAGGGGAAAGGGTAGGAAAAAATTGGAAATGATGGTGGTGAAAAATGAATATTTCAAGAACATTTAAGGGTTAAATGCTTCGAAGGTTATAGGACCAAGATGCTGAATGACTGTAAATGCCAGGCTAAGAGTTTGTATTTTAGGCTATTAAAAATATGCAGTCACAGCTGCCTTGATCCCAGAGACCATTATTGAGAGAAAAAAAAATGGCACCTGCCTAACCCGAACGCTAATTGCGCTCCAGGCCCAAGCAAGCAAGACTTTGAATCTCAGAGCCAAAGGAAGGAAAGGGACAATTTTGTGGACAATGGGGAATCACTAGAGGTTCCTAACAATGAAAGGCTATATTGAGGTCAGATTGTAGAGCATCTTGAGTACCAGATTAAGGAGTTTGAATATTACCCTGTGAATGATAGGGAGCCACTGAGGGTTTTTCAGCATGAAAGTGGCACGGTTAAAGTGGTATTTTAGAATTATCACTGAGGCAGCAGTTTTTAGCATGGATTGGACAGGGAATATCCAGGAGGCAAGACAAGTTTGAGAGTTGCTGCAAGAATTAGCAGAGATGAGCAGAGACTCAACTAGAATGGTGGCAGTGAGAACTGAAAAGAAGGAATGCATATGTAAGACATTATGGAGGAGTAGGCACTCCTCAGTTAGTGATTGATCTGGTATGGAGGGCAAAAGAGAAGGAAACCCTATGGAGGACATTCAGGTGTCAAGAACGGGTTATACTTTATGTTTTCATGACTAACTCTGTTTCCATGCTTTGTTTTGTTTTGTTTTCAACTGACGATCAGAACCTTCCAAGGAATTATAGAACAAATTATAAAACCAGAACAAGTCAATATGGAGCCTTAAATAGTTTGGAGAGTGCTTATAATGATAAACCACATTACCTAATAACAACAGCTAGCATTTACATAGGGCTTTAAGGTTTGGAAAGCACTCTAACATATTACATTTCATTTGATCTTTACCTACCCTGTGAGGTAGGCATGATTATTATCTCTATT